ATTCTGGTCAGGAGTCAACAACAGCCCTACTCACTGTCAAAGCTCCCTTGTCCATTTCATCTTTCCTCTACAATGCTGAGAAACACCAGTTCCTTGCTGCTGACCTCTAGATCATACAAAAGATACAGAGGCCATTGAGGAGAGGGACTTTTAGTTTGGATTGAATTTTTCATTTTTTCCTGAAGATAATGGGGAAGAGAAAGGTTAGTTATAACAGTATGTCAAGACTCCTTCATAGTCTCTCTCACACACACACACATCACTTTCTTCACGCACAAAATGGCAGACCGTTGGCTGTTACCTCAGATTTCCTGTACACAAAAAAGAAGGATTCAGGTAGCTTGGAAGACATGCCCTAAAATTTATTGTAGTTATCCAGCCTGGGAAAGGAAGTGGTTTTAACAGAGGAGAATGGGAGAAACAGACTAGGGAAGCCTCATATTTCTTAGATCTGTGTGGAGTGGGCACCCCTAATTTTTAATATATGCTGATGAGATTCAGGGCAGGCTGCCCCAAGTTGTGCCACTTTGGCATGCAGATTATTTTGAGCTGAAAACAATCAAGACCCAAAAGACTCAGGAAGAACATTTGGCCTTCCCTATAACTGTCTGAAAGAATTTAGATACAGGACCTCTTCCGGGAAGGGAGCTATCACCGTAGATAACTACCAGGTATGATATGAACTAGGTATGGTAGACAGGGAGGAACCTAGAAACATCTATTTGTTAAAATTCCTCTCTGTCTCATTGTTTCTGTAAGGCCCAGCAAATATTTGTTTACCAACCATTTACTTTTTTTCATCTTCTTGTTAATTGCTTTTCTTCCCTTTGAAGTCCCAGATCCCTACCCTCTTCTCTTCAGACCAAGATGACATATATATCTAGTTTTGCCTGACTATCTTTGGAATCTCCCAGGCTTATGTGGATTCCCCATATGTATGAAATTAAATTTGTTTTTCTCCTGTTAATCTCTCTAATGTCATTTTAATTATTTGACCAGCCAAAAGAACTAAGAGGGTAAAGCAGAAATTTTCCCCTCTTTAACAATGCTTTGTTAAGAATTTTCTTTCTTAATTCACTGCTTCATATAATTTACCAAGGAGAGGGTTTTCTGAATTTTAGATATTCCCCAGATTAGAAAATATACCACCCTAACATCTTTCCTAGAGTTAATTACCTGAGGGATTAATGAAAAATTGCGTGGAGGTACTGTTGGAGAAATGTAATTAAAAACAAAATCTCCTGCCACCCCAGAAAAGCTCTCCACAGAAGTAGGAGAAAAAGAAAACAGTTTTATTATCAAATAAGCATTAAACCAGAATATGACATGAATTACAGGCAACCTGCTAAGGGGATTGCAAAAACAAAGAAATCTTGCCCTTCTATGTAGCCAAGCAGATATAATTATTTTTTTCTTTTTTGGGGGGAAGAAGGTTAGCCCTCAGCTAACAGCTGTTGCCAATCTTCCTCTTTTTGCTTGAAGAAGATTGTTGCTGGGCTAACATCTGTGCCAATCTTCCTCTATGCTGCATGTGGGACACCACCATAGTGTGACTTGATGAGTGATGTGCACATCCATGCCTGGGATCCAAACCTACGAACTCCGGGCTGCCAGAGTGCAGCAAATCAAGCAAGTAAGCCACCGGGCCAGCCCCAGATACAATCCATTTCATACATTTTCTCAAGATAAACAATGACCAGTCCTCAAATACGAAGATTTGACTGCAGCGTTTGCCACACATAATTCGTCCTAAATTCATTTAGTAATGTGTCTGCTAATTGTCCTTAAAAGAGAAAATTTCCTCTTCTTTTTTGACTGGAGGCAGGTTTGCAATTTGGAACCAGGTGGCAGCTGCAGTCCTGCTCCTGTCCTCTGGAGGAAACTGGGAGAGAGGCGTGCTCTCTTCCTTGATGATTACATTTCAAAGAGATGGCTCCCAGGTCCTGGGTTGCTTATTCAGCCTTAAAAAGATTTACGTGCATTTCAAAGATGGAGGGAAAGAACTTTCAAGTTTTCTAAAGTAAATGCCCTAAGAAAAGGGAGGGGAGGAAGTCTCTGCCCTTATTTTTTATTTATTTTTTTTGAGTAAGACCAGCCCTGAGCTAACATCCATGCCCATCTTCCTCTACTTTATATGTGGGATGCCTACCACAGCATGGCTTTTGCGAAGCGGTGCCATGTCCGCACCAGGGATCCGAACCAACGAACCCCGGGCCGCTGAGCAGCAAAGCCTGCAAACTCAACCACTGCATGACTGGGCTGGAGAGTTAGAGAGTTAGGCACCTTATTTTAATTTGTAGTTGACCTTACAGTACTACAGTATTATAAATAATAATATATTGTGCTTCATGTATCAAGTCCTCCTAGATTGACATTACCCTCCTTTCCCTCACAGGCCCCGCTCACTCCAGAAAATTTTTTCCTCCTAGACAAGGATTATCCCCCTCTCCACCCATTTGTAATAAAGTGTTCCTGGAGATCCCCCACAGAGACAGACCGAAGCCTGGAGAGCAGCTACAGAGGCAAGAGTGATGTGTAATGGGTCTGGTGTTGCACAGCTAGTACCTCAGTTCCTTTAACACTATTTCTTCTGTTAAGAAAGAGACAGGCCCCAAATGTAGTCACTTGTGCTAAGCCACACATCAGCAAACCAAGACGTAACATTGCAACTGGCAAATAGCCATTGATGATTAAGTATCTAGGTACTAAACTTTTTCCTTCTTTTTGCAATTACTGACTATAGCTTTTAGCTGTTTAACCCACCCGTTGTTAACTGTGCTGCTTAGGCAATGTGCTGTCTGACTCCCACTAGGTTGCTATAGATAACATCTCCCTGGAGCCTGGGTCACCACAGTAATGGGTATGTGAGCTGTTTTTCAGGAATTAGAACTCCTTGTCCACTTCAGGCTAGTGGAGACCACCAACTCATCAACTGGGCCCACGCAGATGTCAGATAGGCAAACTTTTGACGTCAAGAGGCTAAATCTCCACCCTCAGATCATACTAATGCCACCATTTTGTGAGCATGGGTCCTATGAAGAGGCGTGAAGTCTGACTATGCTTGCACAGATCACCAGTACCTCATTTCTCCTCATCTCCAGTCACCTACCTCCACATTTCAGACCACCTTGCCCCCTATCCCATAAATATCCCTGAGTCCCTATTTTCAGGGAAGTGGATTTGAGGCTCATGCTCTTGCCTCCTCACGTGGCTGCCTTGTGAATAAACTCTCTCTCTGCTGCAATCTCGTCGTCTTGGTGTTTGGCTTTCTGGGTGGCGGGCAAAAATGACCCTGGTTCGGTAACAGTATCTAACCTAATTACAGTTACAATCTCCCCCAGGAATATGGTCTTAACCAGGCAGTCTGGAATTTTCTGGTCAGCATCAATGAGGTAATCTGCCACATAGCCCCCTTCTTCCTACACAGGCAGGTTACCTAAGCTTGAAACAATGCCCTCTTTCCCCCTTCCGCCTATAAAAGCCTTCCATTTGGTACAGCTCCTTAGAGCTCTTTTCTGCTTGCCAGATGGGATGCTGCCTGATTCAAGAATCATTCAATAAAGCCAATTAGAGCTTTAAAACCTACTCAGTTGAATTTTTATTTAACACATCTAAGCTCCCTCCCCATGCTGCTCTGACTATTGTAGGTACAACCTCTACATTACACAAGGACAAGCAGTGAAGTATTTTGTACTTTGTTTTATTTCATTTCAAGGAGCTCCACCAGAACAAGTCTGGATCTGCTTTGCTCACCCTTGGACCCACAGTGCCCAGTATATAGTAGGTACTCAACCTATACTTGTTGAAGGAATGAAGGGAGAAATGATTGACCACACTAGAGCTAACCACCAACTAGAAAGATAATACAAGAAAATCCATAATTCCTCTCCCCAAGTTCCCTTATTTCTTTTTTTCACCTCTTTTTTTCTATTGAGACACAATTTACATACAGTAAAATGAACCCGTTTTGGCATACAGCCCTATGAATTATGAGAAATGCATACAGTCATGTAGCTGCCACCACAAGATATAGAACAAGAAAAAAATTCCCTCCTGCCCTTTGAAGGTCAATCCTTCCCCAACCACTTGCCCCTGGCCACCACTGATGTGTTTTCTGTCCCTTGTGTTTTACCTTGTCCTGAATGTCACAAAAGGTAGACTTTAACCTTGGCTTCTTTCACTAACACATTTGAGAGTCACCCATGTGGTTGCAGATATTAGTAGTCCATTCCTTTTTATCACTGGGCAGTATTCCATTGTGTGGATACAATACCATTTGCTTAGCCATTCACCCCTAAAGATTGTTCGGGTTCTTTTCAGTGTTTACTGGGCAATTACGAGTTAAGCAGCTATAAACATTTGCATACAGGTTCTTAGAGGTTTTAATTTTTATTTCACTTGGGTAAATGCCTAGGAGTGGGATTGCTAGATTATATGGTTTAACTTCATAAGAAACTGCTGTACTGTTTTCCAGAAAGGCCGAACTACTTCCCACTGCCATCAACAACGTGTGAGAATTCTATTCACTGTGCATTCCTTGTTAGCACTTACAGTTCTTGCTTTTGTTTCAACATTAGCCATTCCAATAGGTGTGTAAAAAGCACTGTGCTGTGGTTTTGATTTACACTTCCCTAGTGACTATGGTGTTGAGCATCTTTTCATGTATTCATTTGCCATCTGTATACTGTCTTTGGTGAAATATCGGTTCAAATATTTTGCCCATTTTGTTATTGAGTTTATGTTTTCTTAGTGAGTTTTTAGAGTTCTTTATATATTCTGGATAAAATTCTTTTTATCAGGTTTATGTATTGCTAATATTTTCTACTTGTCTGTGGCTTGACTTTTAATTTCTTTTAACCTTTTCTTGTTTTAAAACAAGTTTCTCCCTCTGACTTTTCTAAGACTACCAAGTGGTTTAATAAATTTAGATATAAGAAGGGAAAAACTCCATGACCTGTCTGTGATTGCAGATGGGGCTTCCCCAGAGACTCAAAGCTCTCATGGACCAATGGCTGCTGGTTAAGGCCACAGCCCGGCTCTGTCAGGCTCTGACGTTTTAAAGGTTATGCACGCACGCACGTGTGAGCCTCTGACGCTCCTCCCTTGGGCTCCTCCTCCCCTTGCAGAGAGATACTCTTCTCCTTTCAGCTCTCTCTGCACTGGTGGCTAGAGTAACACAGCCTGTGTCTAAGTCAAGAACTCCCTGTCAGAGCACAAGGCGGCCTGAGAGGCACCAAGGACTGAGAGGATGGGGAACTCTCTGCTGAGGCAAAACAGGTGAGTCCAGACTCCCTGAGGGGGAACAGAGGAGATGAGTCCAGCTAATGTAGCCAGAAGGAGAAAAAGACATCTGCTGTGGGGCGGGAGGGAATTGGGTAAGGAACTGAGCAGAGTGAAGTGCCTGCTATGTGCCAGACACCAAGTTCAGTTCCTTATAGATCTGGCCTTCTCCCTGGAAACACAGTTTGCAGCTGGTGGAGAACATCTGAAAAATGGAGAGACTCTACTAAGGCTGGTCTATGCAATAGACCGCCACCTAAGAAATGGAACAACTTTCTGAGGCCTGGAAGGGATGCTCTCCTGAGCTCTTAATGTCCCACAAGGAGCTCCAAGACAGCACCACCCTTTTAGTCACTATTTAAGTTAAAAATAAACAGTAAGCTTCCTACCACCACGAGGCCTCGTCTGGTGCACACTCCCTGCAACAGGTAAGCAGAGGTAGTTGAAATCAGTAAAGAACTGGCCTTAACTTTTTTGGAACTCAATTTCCTCATTTTAAATGAAAATAATAATACAATCTACCCTGGAGGGTTCTAGTATGTGTGATGCTAGCATAGTGCCTGACACAGAGTAGAGTTCAATAATTAGAAGATTTTGGGGGGACCATCATCTTCATTAACATCAAAGCAGCCATTGTAAAAATTAGTACCACCCAATACAAGGGAGTCCCTGGGGTACAAAGTGAGGTGGTCCAGGAAGAATGAGCAGGCCACGGGGTAGGGGGGCTGTCTCTACAGAATTATGTTTGATGTCCCAGGTCTCAGTTCATGCCACTGGGAGCTAGGACACAAGACCCAAAATGCCACCTGCCAAAAGGAGGCTTGGCGAGCCTGTGGAATGTTCCTGAGAGTCAGTGTTTTCTGAGACTTCTCCTCCCCGGATCCTCACAGCTCTTTGTCAGTCTGCCACTCCGGCTGTCTCCTATCAGATTACAAATTCCTATTTTTATGCCTAGATGCAAGTTTCCCAAATGTAGAGTGTTTCTTACTCATCTTTGAATTCCTGTATCCTGGCATTGTTTCTGGCAGAGAGTAGGCACTCAAGAAGTGTTGGATGAATGATTGGAAACATAAAGAAATAACTGTCTTGAGAAGAAAAATAAAACAAAATACAGATGTGGTTTGACTGAGAAAGTCATGATTGATGTCCCATTTGTGATTTTGTTTGTTAGAACTTTAGTGTCGGGGTGAAAGATTATGGCATTAATACATGTTAGTTGTAAAAAGAAATGGAAATAGGTGAAGCATAAATAAGAAAATAAACGGATAAATCACAGTTATAACTACTGATAACATTAGATGCACTACCTTTATTTTAATGTCTATATTTATCAGCCATTTGCATTTTTTCATCTTTGAAGAGCCAGTAACGTCTTTTGCCCATTTTTGTTTTATTGGTCTCCTTTGTTTTCTTGATAGTGAAAGCTATTTGTACTTTGAAAAACTTAGCCCTTTTGCATAAATATTACAGAAAATATTTTTTCCAGTCTGTGTGTCTTGTGCCATCCAGACTTTCTATGATTTGCTGATTAGATTTAAAACATAATTGAATTAAATCTAGAAAGCCCTTTGCTTTCTACCAATTTATGCTTAAAATTCTTTCCGCATCCCAAAATAAGACAAATCCACAGTATAATTTTTTATGATTTTATTGCCTTACATTTAGCCCCACACATTCACTACATGGTGTCAGATATGAATATATTTTTTTCCAAATAGTTAATCGGTTGGCTCAGCATCTTCATTTCCATGCTGATTTTAAAATGTCTTCCTTAACATATTCAAAAGTCTTATATTTACCAAGATTTGATTTTCAACTTCCCCCTCTGCCACCTGGTTACCATCCAATCAGCACACCCTCAGCAGGTCTCTCCAGATCAAATTTGCTACAAAAGTGGGGAAATTGTAGCCATGTGGCAGAGTGACACCCATCCCTTCCTGAGATGAGCTCAGAATCTTAGAGGAAAGAACCTGCCAGAAGAGAACACAGCCACTCCTGCTTACTGCTTGTAGGTCCTCAGCTGAGTTGCCTGACTTTTTGGCCTCAGTTTTCTCAGTGGTAAAGTGTAGAATCATAATATCTACCCCATCGGTTTATTTTGGGATTAAATGAAATATAACATATATCATGTACATGTCAAACACTTTTAGTAAGTAGAATATATAATGCATATGTATATAATATAGTAAGTAGTACATATAGTGTGTGTGTATATATAGTATAATAATTATTATATATAGTGTGTATGTATGTAGTATAGTAAATGGTGTATATATAGTATAATAATTATTATATATAGTGTGTATGTATGTAGTATAGTAAGTGGTATATATATAGTATAGTAATTATTACATATAGTGTGCACGTATGTAGTATAGTAAGTAGTATATATAGTATATGCATATAAATCATATAGTAAGCAGTGTTTGTTAGTTTCTTTTTCTCTATACCCTCAACTTCCCACAAATGAAAAGATGGTGATACAGAAAGCCAACCCAAACATTGAACCAATTTATTTTCTTTATTTAATCCTTTCCTTGCCTTTTCTCCCATGTTCTCTGCCTTGGTGCTTTCTGTGAAAGATGGCAATTTACATGAGACCAGGCCAGTACCCTTCCTCGTTCCTGCGTACAGTCCCAACACTGTGCCGAGCAGATAGGCCTCTCTGTATACACTGATAGTGTCGCGTAAAGCAGTGTTGGAGAACATCGGTGGGCTGTTGCTGTGGCAATGGAGTGTACGTCAGATTAAAGATGGGTTTTGGTGTGGGCATATTAACAGATGTGAGGGCAATAAGGGCAAGCTGAGGTGATTCCAGGATTACACACAAGTAGCAGAAATGAGGAAATTTGGAAAGCCTGGAGAAGAAATATTTAACTCACTCCTGATATGCTGAGTTTTAGGTGGCAGCAGACCACTCAAGAGACACCCTGGAATCTGGGGAATCAAAACCGCAAACAGAGAACATCCAGGTAAGAGTAAATCCCATAAAACTTCTCCCAGCCTTTGTTCACGAAGAATGAAGTCTGGGGCCAGCGCCGTGACATAGTGGTGAAGTCCAGTGCCCTCCACTTCAGCAGCCTGGGTTTGCGAGTTTGGATCCTGGGCACACACCAACACCACACATCAAGATATGCTGTGGTGATGACTCACATACAAAATAGAGGAAGACTGGCACAGATATTAGCTCAGCGACAATCTTCCTCAGCAAAAAGAGGAAGATTGGCAACAGATGTTAGCTCAGAGCCAATCTTCCTCACCAAAAAAAAAAAAAAAAAAAATAGAATGAAGTCTGTCAGGTCCTGGACTTCACAGCAGCAGTTGTAATGGTAGTACATGTGGAGACAAGACAGAAGATAAAAACACTTTGAACCTTTGGACAGGAGATGTGCCGTTTTGCTAGGAGCCTATTGTAACCTCTAGCAACCTGAAAGAAGGCCCCCATTTTTTGTTGTCCCTTTATTCGTCTATCTCAAGCATCTTTGTGCTCAAGCTCCACCATGGCTGTTTTATGTTTCATTTTAAGCTCTAAGTTTCTACTTCTGACATGGCCACATCCCCCACATGTCTGCAATTGTTGAGAGGTTTGTGGGGAGAAACACTTGTGATTACCCTGATGCTGTTAAACCAAGACTTCCTCATCAGTCCTTTGCAACCAGGCCTTTTGAGTGCCAGGGAACTGCTAAAATATAGAACTAGTGTCCCAGGGTCCAAGAATCCCAAAGAGCTGCAAAGCCAGTTATTCCGTGGCCTGTAGAGTTATTCGCACTTTTCTCATGGTTTCAGGAGAAGCTTTTGAAAGAGCATCAATTAAAAAGCAACCACTAAGCCAAAGCCTGTGTTAGGAGCTGGGGACCCAGAGATTCCACCAAGAGGGTGCATTTCTTCAGAACAAGCTAAGGATCATATATTTAGGGTGTATCACTGAACATATGCTAAAGCATATAGTCCAAATGCTGAAACAGACCAGAAGGACCATAGGCGTAATACCAAGGGAGAGACTGGGCAGACTGGAGAGCCGGGGAACCTTTGCAGAAAAGACAGGAACCTGGAATTGCTGGCCCATAGCCTGGGGTCATAGAGATACATCTGGCCTCCTTCCTGGAGGTTGTGTGAACACACTCCAGACCAAAACATCCAAACTGATATTGCAAGAATATACTGCAGAAAATTTGAGTGGGGGGTATAGCCAACTTACAAGGAGCTTTTACCCATGTTTCACTTTGTTTGACCATTACAAGTCCGTGAGGAAAGCAGTATAAGTACCCTCATTTTATAGAGCAGGAAACTGTGGCTCAAGGAGTCCAGAGATATTGACCCAGTTACTCACAACCGACCGCCTCCTTTCATCTCACTCCCATGTCTCCTTGGTGAGCCTGATTTCCTAGCACTGGTGGTGTTCAATGGTTTCCTTCTGGGGCTTCTCTAGCCACAGACATAGGAGCTATAAGCAAATGGCTTAAAGTACACTGAATGCAGCCTGAAGAGGAGGAGGAACTACAGCCTTGCCTGTCAGCCCCGAAGACTCTAACGGCACACAGACCCAAGAGGCTGTCAGAACACCCAGCCATGCTGGCGCCACAGCCAAGGTCACGTGCAGCAGCCTCTCCTCCATTGCCCTCTCCGAGGGAACTCCCTGGGAAAGCTCACTGTGGGAGAGATTTTTAGATGATCTTTTCCAAACATTTTTACATAGCATTACTGGTACATGCAATACTTTATAAAGGACCTTCATATTTAACCATGTAGATAGTTGACTATGCCTCAGATTCAGACAAATGCCCAAAATGATATGTAGACTTCAGCCTAGATGTCTGATTGCAGAGGGATCCTGAGCCTTTCTGCCATATCCTGTTTATTTAGCTATACCGTGGGGTCAAGGAGGCAGATTTGATGATCTGAGTCAGTTAGAGTTGCTCTGTTCTTGGCTATTCATTCATTTATCAAATATTTATTGAAAATATATTTGTGTGCCAGACACTGTGGCACATGCTGGTGATATATAACATAATGAACAGAAAAACATAGTTCCCAACCTTGTGAAACTCACGTTCTAATGTAGGATATAGACAAGCAAGCAGACAATTACAATATAGCGTGAACAGGAGAAGTCCAGAGGGCAGTGGAATCCTATATAAATATTGCCTTTCCCGTAGCTGGAATAAATTTCTAAAATGTCTGCAGACTTGTACCTTGATGTCCAGGAGATAACTCCTGTGTGTCCTTCATCACAAGAGGTCAAGTAAATCACTGGAACTGAGGATGAGCACACCCTTTTCCTTTGCTGGCAATACAACAGAAAGTTCGCTCCCTGATTAGGAGTTGATAGTGTCATCTTCATATTTCCAAAAAGCCAGTTAATGTCCTGCGAGGACAAAGGCATTCTAGCATGATAGATGTGTTCAAGTCACCTAGAATGAATACCCTCCTGGGGAAGAAAAGGTTGTTCACAGAAATAGCAACGGGAAGGGAGTCACCCTAACAAAGCTGCAGAAACCAACCTTGTGACTTGTGTGATCTCCGGGTGTTTTAGATGCTGGGACTGCCACATGGCTGAAGAGTGTTTCTGCCTTCCGTGGTAAGTGGAGAACTGTTTTGAGGGGTTATTTCCCTAGATGTGGTTCCATTGTGGTATTTGCTGCAATTACCTGTGAACTCCCCGCTGTCTGTGGCCACAGCAGAAACCTGGGCTAGTAGCCCAGATACGATCATCTGAGAGTCAGTCAGGGAAGCGATACTTCAAGTTTTAGTGGAAAACAGGAACAATAGTCTCAGGGGTGGTCCTTGTCCTCAAACAGCCTCAGAAGAAGGAATGAAACTGGCTACCATGTAGAGAAAGACCTCTTAATCGCACTGCAAATCCCGGGGTCTCCATGTACAGAAGCACATATTTCTGTCCCTTGCACAGAGAATTTACAGCCAGGATGATCATATAATTTATCATCCAAAGTAGGAAACCTTGGAGAGTAAAAGAGATGCTAAAAATAGTTAAGTGTCACTAAGTGATTGATAATGACATTAACTAGACCACACAAGCAAATAAGACACATGGTCATCCTCCTTCGAGCAGACCTTGTCCTTGTCTCCTGAGACCATAACAGGCTTCCATTATATTTATGTTGTGTGTTTCTGGGGGGTCATGCATACAGTGTAGTTGCCTCTGTGCTCATGTGGGAGGGTTGTGTGTGTTTGTTTCCTCATTTGCTTGCTCGTTTGGAAATCACAGACTGGAACAGGGATCGAGATTGAAGAAAACTACGGCTCCTTAACTCACATGATAGAAAATAAATTGATATTTTGTCAGAAAAAACATTCCCCCGAAAACTTGCCTATAACATCACTGCAGTTCTCCACCTTATAAACCAATTCCATATCAGCCTCAGAAAAGCAAGAGGGAAGAGAAAGAGAGAGACACACACAAAAGAGTAGATTTCTACTTGGTCTTATCTTTCATTTTTCCTTTTCTCTATCCTGTTGTTTCTCTGTGCTGAAGGAGATATTACAAAAGGCCTATAACCAACAAATGAAAGAGTTAATAAGTTTTTATAGTGAAGTGTGATTTTCTTTGCGAGTTTCGGAGTATTGAAACAACCAGTGTACTTTCCTTTTCTTTTACAGGAAAAGAATAGACATTTTTAAAGCAAGGCAAGATTCTCAGAAGGAAAGTAAGTCATTGCTTTCACATCATTTTCACTTTTGATAAATTATTTTTCCAAATTGCCTCTTCCCTATGCTCCCAAAGCTCCTTGGGCATATTTCTAGTATAAAACTTACACATTTTGCTGCAATTTGTCCAGTTGCATGTCCCTTTGTCCCCACTAGATTGTAAGCTCCTTGAAGCGGGACTTGGCTTATTCATCTTCAGATCTTTCACTTAGTCCCTGAGGTCTGGAGGCTGAAGGACTTAACTGAGAACGATAAATGCAGAAGGTGGAAAGGGGGGCACTTACAGGGAACTGAGGGAGGCCAGCACAGGCACACAGAGCACAGAGGAGGGGAAGGCCTTGTGGTCAAGGTTAGGATTGGGGTTTTTGTCTTGAGAGCTACAGGAAGTACTGAAAGGCTTTAAAAGAGGGGCATATATGACCACATTTGCATTAAAGACATCACCCAAGTTGCATGCAAAAAACAAACTGTAGCAGGGAGAGGCAAGAGCAGATGCTGGACGACCACTTAGGAGGCTGATGCAATGGTCTCTGGTGACGGAACAGGACTGAAGTTAAGGAGAGAGAAGAATTCGACAAGGAGAGGGTGATGAATAGTATCACACACAGGAGAGAAGAAGAAAGTATAGGTCTGAGGAGAGGCCGCGCCTTCCTCAAGAAGAAAAGCAAAGGAGTTTTGCCATTGCCTTCCTGGGCTTAAATAGGAAAGCCTAGTTCATTCCCTCTGAATCTTAAAAACTAGCCCTGAACAGTGTACAAATGAATAATACAGCCCTACCACCCCTAGCCATTTCACCCAGGGGAAGTGTGGGTCCCAGGAAACCCCAATCTCCATCAGAGCAAAACAATGTAGACATAAGACCTCTCACAGACTCTCCTCTTGTAGCGATAATCAGGGAAGTCCTAGACGGCCTTGAGAACTTTTGGCGACGTGAGAATCTGGGATGTCGGTACTGAGGGATGTCAATCCGTAATATAATACATAAGATGGGCTGCATGGGCACAGACACCTCCGGTGCAGGATGGCTTCATGAGGCTTCTGTGGGAAAGTCTGTGTTTGCTCATGCTTGCTGGTGTGTTTGCAAGGGGGTGGCAAGTGTGTCCATCCACTTCTGCTGAGTGGCCAGAGCCAGTCAGCTTTAAGTAAGTTGTCTTTTGAAAAATTGGCCTGCTTCTGTTCGTAGCTGCCAACAGATTCAGGAATGGGAATACTCAGCTTAAGAGTTTCCTTCTTTGTAAAGCTTTCCTTGAGCCCCAGCCCCCACACTACCACCATCCCTTGTCACCTACAGTAGAAATAACAGCCCTCCTCTGCATTGTGGCTCTCTCTCAGACCCCACCTGCCTCTGTGCTAGCCTGTGAGCCCCTTGAGGACAGGGACTGTTTCTGATTCTTCTTTGTCTGCCGAGTGCCTGGTACAGAGTAGGTACGCAATGAATTTATTGTAAGGAGGGAGAGAGGCTGGAGAGAGGGAGGGAGGGAAGTGTGATTTCCTATCCAAAGACCCAGCAAATCTGTCTCCTTCCACTCACCCTCAGCCTGAGCACAGCTTTCCTGTTCCTTGTTTAGGTGGCCCTGTCACTCACTCCCCAAGGATGTGTTTCAGGTCAGATAAGGGCTACCTCAGCTGCCTCTTAGCTCTCTGGTTGCTTATATCCCAGTCCCCGCCCCCTCCTCCTCTCCATTGCCCTCCAGTCTCCCCAGGACCTGAAACTCATTGAGTGTATTTTCTTTCTCCAGATAAAGGAACGGCATCCACTCCCATCCAGGTAATGCAAACATCTCAGGGCCTTTTCTGAGATAACATAGAAACGCAGACACCCCAGATGGCAGGAGAAGTCGGCCTCCAAGATCTCTTCTGACTTTAATATGAAAAATAGTCTTTAGAAGACAGTGCTTGTGAGCCCGGGACCCATATGCAGCCCTGGTGGCAGAGGCAGCAGCCACCTCTGTTGTACAGCTTAGTGAAAGGAACGAACAGTTATTGAGCACTTAGACTATGCCAGGAAGTGTGCTGAGGGCTTTGCATGAACCATCTCATGTAACTGTCACAACGACCCTATAAGATTGGTACTCTTATTTCCTCCATTTTGCAGATGATAAAACTGAGAGATCAAGTGATATTCGCCCAAAGCCAGGCAGCCAGCAAGATGGCAGGGGCGTGATTCAAAACCAAGTCTCCTTCTCAAATCTATGCTTTCCCCTGTACTTTGCTGCTTGGCTTTTTATCTCCTGAGATTTCTCTAAAAGAGAGCTTCTCCTGAGTGGTTTCCCCTTTTAATAATGCAAATATCTCTAGAATCTCTAGAATGGTTAAATATCATAATGCAATCACAGTCCAATCACACTAAGGTGTCTTTCTTATATAAGAAGGGCCCTGAGACTTTGGGAATCATACAGAGTGGTTGGGGGTCACCCTGGAACATGGGGCAGAGAGGACATGCATGGGAGGGCTGAATACTCTGGGCAGCATCAGCACTCCGGCTGCCTGGGCCAGTGGTTGAGATGGGAGCAGCCATTTAGGGAAAACAGCCGAGACATGGAAGGGAAGTAGTTGTGGAAGAGAGATTTTGCCCAGGGTCGGGTCTGTGTTGAGACTGAAGTGTAAAGAGAATCGCAGGAGGCCAATTCTTAACGACGGCTGTCCTTTGACCAGCAGGACGATGTTGACCACAACTCCTCGGAGGAGCTGTGCTACACCCTCATCAATCACAGCGTCCTCAGGAGAAGGCCATCAGAGAAGTCTGCTGAGGGGTGGTATGAGAACATTTCCCGGGAGGCCGAGACACCCAGAGAGGCCTCAGGAGGAACAGAGACTGAGTACTCACTTGTCCACGTGCCTCCCACCCCTAGGCATCCACCTTCCGCAGAAGACGAATATGAACTTCTCATGCCCAGAGTCTCCTCTCACTCCCTGCACCAACCACGTCCCCTTAGGCTCCCTCCTGAGAATCAGTTTGTGCATTTATAATGAAGTGATTGGACTAGCATTTGCTTAACACCAGCAAATAAAAGCTGGGGGTAGGGGCTCTGGTTAAAGCAGGCATGGGGCACAAAGTCTTTCTGGCTGACCTCCCCCTGCCAACAGCCCCTTCTACAGGGGGCTCAGCAGAACATGGTTTACAAACCACAGGGCCTCTCAGATCCTGCTCAACATCCAACATCAAAAGATTAACCAACCATCTTCAACACCACTCTTTGAGAAGGGACTGGCCATTATTGCTTGTAAGTGGCTTTGGAAATGGACTGCTTTACTCAGTGGCAGGAGGGGGGCTCCCTGGTCCCCTATAGCTATGCACATCACAAAGGCTCTGCTTCTCCGTCTGGGTTCTTCTCATAAAACGTCCATATGATTGCCCTCTGAAGTCGCAGAAGCTTTAGCCATCATATTAAGTGTACCCAGGGGGAGTCCACTTGCTCCACAAGTGTTTGTGGGGCCAACTCCTCACTCGCAGGCTTCTAGGCGGATGCCTGTGCAATCCTTTCACTCCATGCCTCTAAATGGTGTCCTTTGCATAGTGTCCTTTGACTCGTCAGCTCTGGTGGCTTGGTTGGTTTCATGAGTTGAATCAGTAAGGTCCAGGCCAGGTTTTTATATAATTTTTAATACAATTTTAATCCTTATTTTTTAATCTTGTATTTTTCCCTAGAAATCTTAAGAAGAAAATCATAGCTTCAGAGACTGATAGAGAGTCCTTTGGCAATCCTCTAATCCCACTTTCCCTTTTTGGCTCCGGGAGGATAATAAGCCCAACGTGATGTTGTAAGTTACTGGCAGAACTTTATCCAGAGGCTGATTTCTTGGCTTTGAATTCAGTGCTCTTCCAACATACTACATAGACAAGCCTTTGCTGTATGCTGTATGTGTGTATTAAGTAACACGTCATTTATAAAACATGAGTAAAATGTCCACATTGGAAAAATAACACGCACATACACATACTCCTTCACTCATGAGCATTTCTCTGCATGCCCTGATTATTTATTTTCCCTCATCTTTTCTTCCTTGTTCCTAGAATTATGTCTAGGATATAATGTCCTAAAATAGGGATCAGCAAACTATAGCCCACAGGCCAAATCTGACCCTCTGCTTGTTTTTATAAATAAAATGTTATTGGAATACAGCCCCGCTCACTTGTTTACAGGCTTTCTGGCTGCTCAACTACTGGAGAGTTCAGCCGTGGTGATATACACTATGGGTCCTGTAAATACACAAATATTTATTTGGGGGCTCATTTCAGAAAAAAAAGTTTGTAGACCCCCACCCTAAACCATCATACTTGGAGATAAACTTAACAGAAATGTGTTTGGGTATTGATGTAACTCATAAGAGCTGGTACCAATAAAATGGTATGAAAATTTAAAACCACAAATTAGATGAGACCAAGGATTAGCAAATTAGACTATTTCTATATCCACACCTGTGTTCTCAACTTCCTGTTTTGTTGAACCCATGGCCATTATATTAATTTTAGGGATGTTAAAATAGTAAGAGGTTTGTTGACAAGCAGTAGATGTATTATGTGTTTAATTGCTGTTTTGTTCCCCAAACTAACCAAAGTTAAATAACTTTGCTATATAAAATGTGCCAAGCGTCCAATGAGGATAAATCAGTGACTTGAGGATGGATGCATCACACAGGTTTGCTGAGACTTCAGGCAGTTGGTCTTCAACCAAAGAACCAAGCACATCTTGGTATCATGTCCTCTGCTAACTTCCTGTTTTTAGCCAAATTCTTTCACAAGGGACCCTCACTTTGACCCTTGGCCAGGATTCACTTTAAGGAAACAATGTGACACCAGAGTCAGATCAGCGGTGATTCAAAGCCTGGTTGTGTCTCTTCCTCCCTCTGTGACCTTGAGCAGGTGACATGAAGGCCCAGCCTTTTCCCCCATGAACGGGAGGATTACATCTAATGTATGTAAATCATCCATCACAGACCTTGAATAAATGATAGCAAAGAGCAAAAGGGAACAGAAATCTTTATGATGTACGGAGAAAAACATGTGCTGATGTGCCTGGTGATCCGGGGTTACCCAGCAGTCTTCCAGTGAGACAGAAACACGGAACGCTAGGCGCTAGGCTGGAATTGTCCACTCCGACACCGGACCATTGCGGAAACTGGTTGGTTTAAATACTCTCAGTACAACCTAATAAGTTATACCTGTTTGACTCTTATCACGTGAAAGTATTACCTGTCTCAAATAGTACATGCCTTTTAGCAGGAACATATTAAATATAAATGCTTAACCAAAGAAAGTTGTTCTGATAATGAAATTTAGAGGGATCATGGAAGGGAATTATTTGCGAGCGGGAGAGCCCTCTGAGAGTGCTTTGAACTACCTAACATGTCTGTAGATAACGGTGATCCCGTTTTCCATAGATTTCAGGATTTCTGATGAAAGCTGTGCACCCTCTTCACAGAAAGTGTACATTCTCTCACACACACACACACACACACACACAACACATTTGTATGCAATTTCAAGGGGTTCGGGGTGCAACCCCTCAGTTAAAGATTTCTGTTCTTAATAAAAAAAAAAAACTGAAGCTGAGGATATAAATTGTCCCCTCAAGCCACAAGTATAATCAGAAAACCCCCGTTCCCATGCTGGTCATAAACCTGTAAGTAGCCAGAGTTCACAGAGGTACATTTTATGCAGCAACTGCAGTCTCTGTGGTTTCCGTTTTATGTTCACACTAGTAAATACATCTATAAATAATCCCTTAGTCTATGAGTAAATTCTTATTTAGAATACAAGATAGGCACAAAAAAAGGGCAAAAATAGGTCAGGAAAATCTACCGTTGACAACAAATAAATTCAAATGCTGATGTTTTGAGGACAACTTTGGGTGACAGGTGCTTCAAATATTCTCAGGGATGGAAGGGCACAGGCAGAGCAGGAGAGAGGAGTCCCCAGAACTCCACACGAGCCGTCAGAGAAAGGGGATTCTGTTTACATTTACCTGACTCTGTTCTTTTCCAAGCCAGCTTCTTGTGTTCAGAAAGCAACTTGAAAGCCACTTGATCTGAGGGCACCTCAGTTCCGCCAACTGTGAAATGGATCAGCATAAGTCCCTCCCACTTTCCTGCAGAGGGTTCTTTGCAAGGCACTTGGAAGCATTGAGTGGGCATTATCATCCCAGAGAGTCTTCTAGGTCTGATGATCACACTTCTCAACTCATCTTTTCCCCCTCACCACTTGTGCTCCTTGTGGATTCCCAGATATCAGCCAAACCTGAACTGAGCATGACCCTGGGATGCCCATCAGGGTTGGAGGCCATTGATGGTGTGTGGTTGTCCAGTGGGCTGAGCTCTACTCCCCAAAACTGTGGAACTCTGAGCTTGCCCTTCCACCTTTCCAGACCTTGGTTTCCTAAGTATAAGATGAGGGGACTGCCTTCTAACCCTAAGAGTATATAAGCTCTAACGATAAAGGAAAGATTAAAGGATGTCTGTAGATACGGCTGCCAGCTACGCAGCAATAGTGTGAATTAACTTATTTTAAAGCAATGAAACAGTAATGGGAACAGAGAAGAGAAGATTTAGATTTCTCCTGTTTTTCTCAGTGCTGATCAGACTCTGAATAGGGCAGGAGTCTATGTCCAGAGTCCACACCTAGAAGGGAAAGGCGAGAACATGCACCTCACCCAAATAAAACACAAATGTGTGTGAAGGAGGACAAATCTGCTTATCCAAATCCCACCATTGCTTCTGGGTTCAGCTTGAGTCCTGCTTCCTAGGCAAAGCCTTCATCAATTAAACTGTACTGACCACTCTTTTAAGTATCTCACAGACACTTGTTGAAACCTGATTATGCACCAGGTGTTACACTCGTCATTAAGATGTGTGATGACCCATAAATTCATCTCCTCCAGCAGAACAGTGTATATGGAAGTGCCATTTTTTCCAAACACCTCAAAATGCTTCAGGCACAAAGTTCAGGTCTTTACACACCCTTTGGGCCAAAGAATCAAACCCATGGAAAATCCTCTCTATGACTCACAAGTGGTCAAAACCCAAGACAAGATCGGTGCATCTTGGTGCTTTCCAAAAGAGAAGGGCAGATCAAGACCACACCCTGTCCTGTGTCCAGATGTGAACTGGCCCTTCCTTCTAGCCCCAGGCCCTTCGGACACCTGGTCCTGCCAGAGGGCCTGGGAGGAAGTGGACAGGACCAAAGGCCCCTCCCTGCCCTCAGGACACACAGGAGGACCCAGCCCACCCCAGCCCACCCCAGCCCACCCAGCTGAATCTTACTCACTCAGAACAGGAAGCTGCTTTCAGAGAAACGAAAAGATCACTTTCAGCACTATTTACTGCAAGAAAATACCAGCCCAGATCACGGCCCTGGAGAGTCAACACCTACGAAGCAACAGTGAATGCGACAATGCAGAGGCAAAAATAATTTACTGTAAATATTTTTAAATCCTTCTCCCTGAAAGTTCTTCATTATTTTGTAAAAAGCACAGATACACTAAAGTTTACATTTGACACGTAAAAAATAAAGAGGAAGAGGGGAAATTCACCTATTACCCTAGTTTGAGGAACTATCCTTAAAATGAGACATCGAGTTACAATAAATGTATCTTCTAGTTAAATAAGAAAAGAAAGTCACATTATCCAGAGTCCTGTATCGTAAAGCACTCAAGGCAAACCTAGCCTGAGACACATGCTGGGGCACATCCCGATACACAGCTGCCCCCAGCACTGACTTCCACCCAAGGCCAAGTTAACTGACATATCGGGGCTAAGGGTCTCTCATCACAGGGCACAAAACTCTTTCTCCTGAAAAATTTCCAGGGAAACAATTTTCCCAACAAAGACTCTGTTCCCTCATGACAGGAAATCCTATATCCACAGACGACCAATCCAGTCACTAACATTCCCCCCGCCCTGCAAATGAGTGGGCACTAAGCTTCCAACAGTTTATTTCAAACAGAGGTTCTTCCTGTTGCTCAGCCACCTTCAATCAGATACACAATCAATGCCTGAAGACTCAGAGTCCAACAGGAAGGCTAGCAAGTCTGGACAATAAAAACGCAAGGGGTAGAATCCACAGCAGATGGGAAGCAGTCTCAGGGACTTGCCAATGGAAGTTTGCGAAAATATAAGTGGGGACACTATCCAAAATGATGACATTGTACTCAAAACTTGCAAGGACCCAAAAGGAGGTTTCCAAAAGAGGTGTGTGTCCAGGAGTCACAGGAACAATGAGGAGATGCAAAATAATTAAAGAAACACATCTCCTTTCATTTTTTTTTTTAAAGATTTTATTTTTCCTTTTTCTCTCCAAAGCCCCCCGGTACATAGTTGCATGTTTTTAGTTGTGGGTCCTTCTAGTTGTGGCACGTGGGACGCCACCTCAGCATGGCTTGATGAACAGTGCCATGTCCACGCCCAGGATTCGAACCAGCGAAACCCTGGGCCGTTGCAGCAGAGCACGCAAACTTAACCACCCAGCCATGGGGCCAGCCCCTACACATCTTATTTCTGTATCTATATACAACACAGTAACACTGGGTGATGCACCAAGGCTGGCTGCCTGAGAGATGCAGCTAGTGGTCATGGAAGTAGCGCCGCACTAGGCCGCTTAGGTCTTTAACGTGCCTTCCCTTTCCTCACAGCCTTGCTCAGAGGTACAACCAATACAATGGATGGAAGGGTGGGGTGGGGGGGGCGGGGTCAGGGAGAGATTGGCTCAGTTCGCCCTCACCAAGCTGCCTGCCTCTCCCTCTTCTCTCTCCACCAGCACAGGTTAGAATTCTGCCTAAAAGCCACCCTTGCACTAAAGAGAAAGCGCCCACGTGTGGGTGGAGGCAGCTAGTGCTTCAGGAACAGCAGTGACCTCACACTGCAAGGTCCACCCACCCCATCACATCACCCCCGCCCCATCTGGATTCCTGCCTTTGTCAGGACTGGACCCAGCCGGGGCAGCGCTTGGGCGCTGTTTCACTGGACATCACAGCTGCAGAAACAGGAGAAACAGGATCATCTCCACCCCTCTAGTCAATGCAAGTCCTACGTTAATTCACCGGATATTGTCCATAGAACGGGATGAATACTCTCCATCTCCAAACTGAGGGGAGTGCTGCTTTCAGACGAAGACCAGCCTCCACCACTCCATTCTGAAAAAAGTACAGACAAATAAAAGTCACTAATTTTTTAAGATCATGATTATTTTAAACATTTGGGTTTTTATACTCTAGTTTCTCTTCAGATCGTATAAATCTTTCGCCTTTTAAACATTTGGGTTTTTATTTTATTTCACTGGGTTTGAATATAAACTCTTAAGTAAAATTGGAATGTTTGTAAATTCCTAACAGAGGAAGTTTATTCTTCAGTCAACACACACACAGACACACAGACACACCCACAACTCTGAATACTTTTCAAAAGGGAAATAACACGTTGTTTGCTCATCTGTTCTGGTATAATTCATGATAACATTTTCACGAGGCCTTCCGGATGCTGAGGACATTTTAACATTTAGTTCTTTTTCATGATCTAACCATAAAATATCTCTAAATTTTCAGTTTTTTAAAACGTGTGCAATATATCTTGAGAAATTCTGACGACAGAAATGGTGTGGACCTGGCCTGACTGAGGGGGAGGTGACCATGCAAGGACGTGGGGACACTACACAGAGAGCCCATAGGCTCCACAGCTGTGTTCTCAGGGTTGATGTTTGGTTCTGGATCATTCTTTGTTGTAGAGAGATGTCATGTGTGTTGTAGGATGTTTACAAGAAGCCCTGGCTCTACGCACTAGATGCCAGTATCCCACAGACATTCCCAGTTGTGATAACTAAAAACGTCTCCAGACATTGCCAAACATCCCGGGGCGGTTGGTGGGGGAAGGCGGTGGGGGTGGGGGGGGGCGCAAAATTGCCCGTGGTTGAAAACTAGTGCTCTTTGACTAAACTCTCCATGTTTCCTGGAGAATCTTTAAACAACCAAAATGGTTTTCCTCTACTCCCCAGGCAGTCCTTTCAAGGACAGAAGGCACACCCTGGCCTCTGTCAGCAGCCAGCTCAACAGTTTACCTCAAAAATGTGCAAACAAGATTCACTATTCTCATTGCCTGGAGCTTTTTCTCTTTTCTCTCACATAAATCCAGTTTTTGCCTTTGTTCCTCACTTGGTCTACTAGCTGACTCCTTCGCATGTGAGAAAACAGTACAAAATAACTAACTCATGTCCAAAATAACTCATGATGTCCAAACTAACCCATGATGTCCAAAATAACCCATGATGTCCAAAATAACTCCTGCTCTTTCATATTTGTAAACCAGACTTCCCCTCCTTATCCCCAGGCCCCATCCATCCATAAAGTGAAGAAGCTCAAAGACACAGGGTGGGGGAGTGGCGGGGGTGGCGGGGGGGGGGTGGGGAGGGATGGTGATTCATTAAAAGAATTCCCTTAACCTTGAGGGTATTATGCTAAGTGATGTAAGTCAGACAGAGGAAGATAAATACTGCATGATCTCACTTACATGTAGAATCTAAAAAAACCCAAACTCACAGAAAAAGAGATCAAATTTGTGGTTGTCAGAGGTCGGCGGGGGGGGGGGGGGTAATAAGGGACTTGGATGAAGGTAGTCAAAAGGTACAAACCTCCAGTTATAAATCCTGGGGATGTCATGTACAACATGGTGACTACAGTTAACAACGTGGGATGGTACATCTGCAAGTTGCTAAGAGTGGATCCTAAGTTCTTTCCCAGGAAAACAAAAATTTGTAACTATATAAAGTAATGGATATTAACTAAATTTACTGTGGTAATCATTTCACAATGTATGTGTGTCAAGTCATTATGCTGTACACTTTAAACTTACACAGTGTTATATGTCAATTATATCTCAGTAAAACTGGAAGAAAAAATAAAAATAAAAAAATTCCTTATGATTATAATATTGAGTGTTTTTCTTTTTACAGGGCGTCGAAATATGCCCGCAGCTGGGTCAAATAGTTGGTGTGCTTCCAAATTAAAGAATGACATACAAGGCCAACCCTGATGGCCTAGCAGTTAAAGTTTGGCACGCTCCACTTCAGCGGCCAGGGTTCGGTTCCTGGGCGTGGAACCACACCACTCATCTGTCAGTGCCATGCTGCCATGGCAGCTCACACAGAAGAACTAGAAGGACTACAACTAGAATATATAACTATGTACTGGGGCTTTGGGGAGTGGGAAAAAGAAAGGGAAAGATTGGCAAGAGATGTTGGCTCAGGGCAAATCTTTCCCAGCAAAAAAAAAAAAAAAAAAAAGGATGAGATATACATACACACAAAATACCTCAGGAATCCAAATTACAATCTAATTTCAGGTTCTGACTCACGTACACACATATGAACCCCAAAGGAACCAGACTGGCCTCAGGGAATCCCTGAAATTGTAAAATTTTGTGTAGGAAGAAGAGTATGTGCATTTTTTTCTGGAAAGAAACTGCATGATTATCTTCAAATTTTCTAAGGAGTATACGAAGCAAACAATGTTAAGGATCTTTGCTCTTTGAAGAACTGAACATTATCTCAGTGGGAAACTAGTTGCCCAGCTCATCACAGCGAGGGTGGGGGTAAACCACCAGGCCCGCAGCACATGCGAACATGGGAAACTGGCCTAAGGATTCACTGGGTCTCGCTCAGTCCCTCTCAGGGCCCCGTGCCTATCCTGCCACGTCCATCTCGTCCCTTTCTATGGATTTTGCCTATGGGTGTGTCCCCTCCCTCAGCCTGCCTGCCTCTCCAAGTCTCTCTGCTTCCTTCCTCACTTCCCAGAAGCTCACTGTACCCCTTCATCTGAGAGGGCGCTGACACTCATATTCCTGAAAATATCAAATGGCTCAAATACTCCACATGCATGCTCTGGAAAGTGGATGTGGGGTCACAGAACCCCCACCCTGGCCCCCAGCAGAAATGTCTGAAAGAGTACAATCTCCTGAGGAGCAGAAGCCATATAGCTCACGGCTGCATCCAGGGCCTGCTGCAGTCTCCAAGGCTGATGCACGGAGTTCAAGGTCTTCTCCACTCTCCTCAGGCCTCACAAGCCACCTGCCCTTCATGGACTCTGTGTGGCCCTCCCAACCTCCTAATGCTCTTAAAGCTTTTCCTCCTCCACCTCCCTCGCCTCCATTTGGAAAGAGCTAGTAACACAGTATTACAGAGGGGTGCCGAAAACTAAGACCAGTCCCACCGTGGCAGCCCACCACAGGCATCTCAGCAAGGTGGACCTCCCTTCCCTCAGCTCTTTACACGGGAGGAGGTCGAAGGGCTTCTTCCTTCCTTCCTTCCTTCCTTTCTTTCTTCCTTTTCTTGCTTCCTCTCTTCCCTTCCCTTAACTTCTCTTTCCCCTTCCCCTTCCTTCCTTTCTTTCTCACCTTTCTTTCTTTTTCAAATTCCTGTACAGGGGGCATAACCTCTTCACTCCATTTATTCAGATGCTCTGTGAGGAAATTATTCATTTATGAGACTTTCCCAATGAGCTAAAATGTGGCCTTCTGAATGTCATTTTTTTAAATTAATTTGGGGAAAAGGAAGCTTTAAGAAGTGCTGTATATAACTCTCTGCCTTCTTAGGCCAAGATTAGTCTACTTTCACCTCCCGTCATCAAGAAATTGAATATCCTCATAATTGCCCCTTCTCGTGCTACCTAGTGACACGTGGCCTTTATAATCTGTTCCACTCTTCCCATTCGAGGCTGCTGGCGCTGTGCCTGTTGCCAACCACATCTCCTCCTAATTTGCCTTTTTCATTCATTCGACTAGTATTTACTACTATTAATGTGCAGAAAGTGCATCTGATGGAATGTGGATGAGAAAAGAAAACATCCGAGATGGTTGGCCTATGGGCTATCAGAAGCCAACGTATCTCCAAGCAAAGAATCGAGGGGGAAACGAGAGGAGAGGGAAGTCAAGGCCAGCCAAGGTTGAAGCTTCAGCGCAGATGCAGCAGAAGGATATGGCATAGGCCTGGGGTCACTTCACCTTCCCACCTTCCTTTTTGTCAGGTTTTGCACCAAGTGTTAAAAGTTCTCAGATCCTGATTTCTATGCTTCTTAAATAACATGTCAATTTCCTTGTTCTGTTCTTCGTTTTAAAAGTAGATGAATAAATTTATTATAATTTTCTAAAGAGGCTAATTTGTCTTTTTATGCCACTCTATTAATTTCTTAATGGACTCAGGGGCCTTCAAGAGAAGAGATACGTTCCCCATATTGAGATAATTTTTCAACGATTTAGCTATCTCGTTTATTTCAAACTCTGCAACACTTTCTTCTCGTGAAACCACAGCGTTCCCACAAAGGTTATTAATGATGCTGTGAAGTGGGATACAGAGCTTCGCACCTGGGTGAACTACAACGAGGAAACTTTTAGCAATCCTTGTCTTTACAGCTTAATTATTTTTTTCATGATTTTTCTCCAAACTCCTCCGTGGGCTCATGGCGGGCAGGGACTGTGCAACCTCCACAGAGCATGGAGCATCACCTGGCCAGAAGTCACCCTGCGCCCCCGTCCCCAGCCTGGCTCTCTGGTTCACTGTCATAGCTCTGGCTTCTTGACTTGCTCAACTTACCGAAGAGCAAGAGGGATGCTGGATCAAGCCCCAGAGTCTCACAACCAGACACGTTCTGATCGTGGAAATTCTGCAGCAAAACGCCCAGCACCAGCTCCTGGCTCATCATGTACTTCATAAAACCATCATCTTCCGATGGAACCCCAAACTGCAGGTGGTAGGTTATCGTGGCATTTTCACCACTGAAAGTCAAACCAAACAGACACAGTAAACATAACAATAGGATTGCACCACAACTCACGAAATTGATTTTCGCAATAACATTTTTTTTTTTTGTTCTGCACATTCTTCCAGGTACAAAATAGCAAAGAGTGTACTGTCCTAGAAGAACCCCCTCCACGAGTCCATCACAAAAGTCCAGGTGAACCTAACCTCCTCCTTCCACCCAGAACCCATCCCCTGGAGTCTACTGGGAGAAGCCATTGAAGGGATGGACATGACCCAGCTATTGTTAAGGATGATCCAAGGGCCGGCATGCGGTCTGCTCCAACACCAGCCTTATATCCCCAAGGCGGGCCAGGCAAGCTGGTTCTCCTCATGTATCCCCTTCTCCAAGTTCTCACACTACATGTATCTCCTTACCCCTACAAGTGTGTGTCAGGGCTATTCAGTTTAGCCAGCTCAGGGTCCAAAGCTCCCTGTCATCAGCCGGGTGCAGAACTCCTGAACTCCCACAGGCTGCCTGCGCGCCAGCAGCAAATCATGCCTTCCCAGTTTGTCCCCAAAGTAAGAAATTTTTTCTGCCCCATTTCCACTCCTGAGGATCCAGCTTTGCAACTCTCAGGAGGGGGACCTAAGGAAGGAGAGTTTTCACCTTCCTAGAACATATTTCTCCCATTTCCAAAATAAAAATAATCATAGGGCTATCCTCAGCTAAAATTAGTAGCTTATCCCACTTGTTAAATGCTGCCTCAACATTTAGTCTTTTCACAGTTATCCTATTACCTTGGTTCAAGAAGGTCTAGATTAAGAGCCAGCAATAAAATAATGAAGAAGCGGTCACATCTGAGACTCTCACCCTGGGGCAAGTTTTATAGACACACCAGTCCCAGGAGCCTGAATCAGAACACTGTTCCTGCCAAGGACAGGGAGAGGGCTCCCTCTCGTGGCCACAGGTCACACAGGCCCAGACTCTCACACTACACTAAACTCTACCACAGCCAAGAAGTATGCCAAACTTTGCGGTTCAGACGAATAATACACGGTCAGCACTCTGAAGAAACCCACAGTTTCAAGGATGCCACTTGGGACAGGCTTAAAAATGCACTTTCAAACTCTGTGCCAAGTACTCTGGTTTGCAAGTGACATTACCTGTGCTCCACCTTCGAATTATCGCTAATGATGGCAACATCTTGACACACAGCCACCCTGCACTCCTACAGACAGGGACTAGGATTGGCTCACAGAAAGGACCAGAAGCTGACCTTCAGAAGACCAGGCTGGAAGCTGAATGAGAGGATTGCGCTGCCTGACCTGGCCTGGCCAGCCCATCCTCATCCCACCAAGTCAGGTCACTGAGTGAATTCGCATAAGGCTGAATCTTGAGGGGAAGACAGGGATTTTCAGGGAAGCGGAGAACGCTGTGGGCTTTGCCCCAGCTGCCTCCACTAGAGTGGGTGCAGCAGCTGATGAACCAATGGGCATTTTCCCAGGTTCCTGTCGGGCTGGTCCAGGGCTGAGACCAGGATCCCCTTGGAGACACAAAAGCATCTGCCAGGGATTTCGCTGTCTCTTGCCCACAAATACTTGAGTTTTTCTTTCAAATATCTTTTAAAAACAGATTCTCTAACATCAAGTCTTCAGGTTTCTAGCCATGTTTTACTCAGTTGTCTGATGGGTTTTTCCCAATGTCTACCCCAACCCATTATGCAATCCTACCTCCTCTAGACCCATAACGTGGGGCTGGATTCTCAGAAAGACCCTTCAGGCTGTGAGCGGCTTTCCTCTCTCAATTCTGCCTCAGTCCTTGAGTTTCAAGTTGGGGCGAGTGCACAGAGGAAAAGGTGTTGGGTCTGATTATTCATTTCTCCCCCTAAATTTCACTGGCATTTTAATACTAGTGGTTTATGATTAAAATGAGCAATGTCAAAGGAGTCACCATAAAGTAACATGCACATTGGGGATCCATAAGGAACGAGGAATAGAGTTGTTGCCAAGGCAACCTGCCACCATACACATTTCCAGACTTCAGGTCCATTGTGCTCCTGCCTCATTGTGCTACCACCGGCTTTACATGCTTCCCCTCCCAGGCCTACTCATATTATGGTTTGGGAAATGTATGGCTTGAGAGGGAAACCTCAATATAATACTGCCTTTGATGGTCACATTCCAGGGATATCTTAGGAACAGTGGATAATAAAGCTTTGCCATGTAAATCTTGTCCTAACAATACAAAAAGATAATCAATGACTGACTGCTCTACACACATATATCCTTTTACCTAAGTGTCCATAGACATATACAAAAACATTAAAGATTAGGAGGAAATTTAAAAACAAAAAATACATATGTATGTACATATGCTATACATGTATAGTATGTAAAGTATATACGGTAAATATATGTATAGAAGAAATCACACCAAACTGTGGATGGTTGTTCATTTCACAGTAGGGAGCAGAATTCACTCTGCGTCTGGAATTGACTGGCACACATAGTGTCCAGGGGCAGTGGGGCAGAGGGTAGAATTTTCCTGCAGTATCTAGCTTTATATTTGCAATATTATACAAAGAGCATGGCCTCCTGCATTACTTGTGTTCCTCAAAAGCACAAGCATGGATCATATTATGTATATCCCATCATTATCTGAGATCTATTTCTATTTCTACCCTTAGCTTATTTGGGATCTGCTGGTAAACAGGACTGGTGTACCTGGGACTGGCCTTTCCTCTCTTCCCTGGGACCTTGTTGAGTCATATAATTAACCTGGGCTTCATTTTTCTCCTTTGTAAAATAAGAGAGTTGAGCTAGTTGGTCTCCAAAGACCCTCCCAGCGCTGACACTATGATTCTATCTGTCACTGGTTCCCTTCATGCTTTGAGACTTGGAGAGTCCTTCTCGGTAAATGGTGATGGGTGTCATTTTCCAGAGAAAGAGACCAACACGGAATCCTCCACAGTCTTACCTGAAGTCCACTATTTCCACCGAAGTAAAGTAACGACTCAGAGATGGGGATGAACTGTACACATCTGTGAGCTAAAACAGACAGGAAAAATAAAACCACCACACTCATCATTGCTGAATCATGTTGCACATCACCTGACAAAGCAGAACTGCTCCTAGACACAGGGGATTACACTCCAGCTGGGAACTGCCTCATCCAGAGGCTCTGGATCGAGAAATAGGAAGGGGTGGGCCTTCCGCCAACCAAAACTCAAGTTCACACTCACATAAAAGAACCTCATTTATAAGGATCAGGCCAGGATTTTCAACATCTCTTCTATGTTTCGCTGACACCTTGTGGCCTTCATGGTGAGAGTGGTCAGCAGCCTGAGCCCACACAGACTCAAGAGAAGGAGAGAACACCCAGTGGCTGGGAAGACTGCAGAACAGGCCACTCGGGGCCTGGGACGTCACTGGACAAGGGCCCCTTCTCTTCTTTCTCCAGGGCTTCACTATAAGGAGAAACAGCCTTACTAAGACACTTTCCCCTGGATGATGGGACCAAGTGGGCTGGTCTACAGTTACAAAGACATGGAGTTCTTCTTTTATACATGAAACATTGCAATCATAAAAAATAATGACATTTGTCTTCCCATTACCTAGGTTTCATGTCTTCACATATTACCATATTGAGTTCAGCCCTTTACTTTAAGAAATAGAACGAAGCTAAAGCTCCTCCTACACACTATTCCGGTTTTCCTCCCCCTCCCCTGATACTAACCATTGTCCTGAAGTTGGCAGGGATCCTTCTCATGCACATTTTTACAAATGTAATACTTCTTCGTGTAATCACATCAATATATAATTTGCGTTTTTATTCAAATAAAAAGTACCATATTCTACATAATTTTCTAAGACTTGTTTTTTTTCACTCAAAATATCATTTGAGATTTACCCATAATGGTCCATCTAGACTGAGGTCACTCAACCTAACTCCTGACTCCTGCACAGACCTCGTTCAGCGATTGCACCGACTTATCCATTCCCCTACTAATGGTCAATCACGTTGTTTCCAGTTTTTCCCTATTACAAACTATGCTGAAGTTACCATCCTTGACCATCTCTGCACCTCTCTTCTTACACATGTAAGAGCTTCCCTTGGGCATCCACCACGAAATGGACTTGCTGGGTCCAAGAGCAGGTGCATCTCCAACTTAACTAAGTCTTGCCAAATCATTCTCCATTTTACTCTCCTCCCAGCAATGCAGAAGTGGTCCATTTCCCACAGCTTTGTCAGCACTTAGTGTTACCAGATTTTTAGATTTTTGCCAATCTGAGGGCTATAACATTGTGCTTTACATTGTTTTAATTTGCATTGTCTTGCTTTCTAGTGAGGTTGAGTATCTTTTCGTGTGCTTAACTCTTTAAGATTTCTCACCTTTGGATTGCGTATTGGTTTCCTGTCTCTCTTGGGATGTCTTTTTCTTATCTGTCTGAAGTGATTGGTGTTATATTCTGGATACTAGCTGTTGGATTTAGGTTATAAATATCTTCTCCCAGTCTTTGATTAGTCTTTTCATCACGTTTCAGAGATGTGAATCCTAACCGAGCAGCACTCAAGACCATGGGGCTGAACATATTTATGTTGTACTTCTTTTAAATTTACATTTGCAGGCTAAATGGCTTGTTCTTTAGCAGACAGGTTGTAGCATAAAGCAGGAGGGCTGCGCTGGGATCTTGTCATACTCTTCCAAAAGGACACAGCTCTGGGGCTGGAGTGAGCCCATGGCCAGGCCTCCAAGAGCCCAGCCAGGGGGCCGGCCCCGTGTCCAAGTGGTTAAGTTCGCTCACTCCGCTTCAGCGGCCCAGGGTTTTGCTGATTCCGATCCTGGGCGCGGACATGCCACCGCTCGTCAGGCCACATTGAGGTGGCGTCCCACATGCCACAACTAGAAGGACCCACAACTAAAAATATACAACTATATACTGGGGAGATTCGGGGAGAAAAAAGCAGAAAAAAAAAGATTGGCAACGGTTGTTAGCTCAGGTGCCAATCTTTAAAAAAAAAAATAGAGCCCAGCCAGACCCACTCCTTCCCAGCCTGAAGCCTCAGCCCTGACTTTGTTCTGGAAACCTCACCGCATCCAAGGGCACCCTTGTGCTGAGACCACTGTGCTCAGCTGCAGCCATTACAGCTCAGTGCCCCATGATTTTATCCAGGAGCAAGCAGCAGCAAATACCCAAAACAGCAGTGCCCTGAGGGAGCTCTGCCCATCTTGTCTCCCACCAGACTCCAAATGGAATCTCAAGGAGGCTGCATTTCCACAACACACCCCAACTTAATCCACCTGGTGACAATTCAGTCTCTCAAAGGTAGAGCCAAGAGGACGAGGGCACCTACAGCTTATACTCCCCAAATCTTGTCATTATTGCTGAGATCTTTAGAGGAAACTGATATCAGGGCACAGCGACGAGCTAAAAACACCTGCGGAATCTGCCCATGTCCAGCTCTGTGCTAGAGCTAAGGCCTGAAGATGAATGATTAACACCCACTTCTCCTGGACATGGAGAGTCCAGTCTGTAACAGCGCACCTGTGTGGATGTTAACTCATTTCATTTGTGCTCAGCAAATGCAAATCCCCCGATTCAAAAAGCAGCCAAGAGAGAAGTACCCAGAGGTTACTCACTCAGCCACTCACAGAAAACCTGGAATAATCATCCCAGAGTACAAACTCCTGTGATCAAAGGAGCCATGAAATGTCTTGCATTTGGGGACCCAGAAACTGACCCTGGAGTGACTTAGATGGAATTGCTTCCTTCAGAAGCTTTTGTAGGAATCAAATGAAAGCCAAATGAAGAGGACTCACCCCATTCAACCTACCAGCTGCAGAGAAGAGTGGAATGGACAGCAGGCTGGTCTTGCTCAGATATTATCAAAACTTTACTGCCTGTGAACCACCTTGACAGGATGACTAGGACTTTCCAAACCAACTCTCATGGTCTGGCTACAGAATGCTTACATTGCACAGAGAACATTCTCCTGCATTTCCCACTCCATGAATGATGTCATCATCCACCCACGCCGCGGCCACCCAACCAGGACACTGGCGCCACGCTCTCCCTCACCCCAACATCCACCCAGCCATTAAGTCCTTTTGAGTGAGAAGACCTCTGAAATCTCACTTGACTCCTCCTTATTCCCCCTGGTGCTGCCCGAGTTCAAGGCCCCCTCACCTAAGCTACTACAATACCTTCTAACTCAGCTCTCTGCCTCCAGGGTTTCTCCATCATCGCACAGAAAGCCTAAAACGAAAAGCTGACCACATCCACCTGCACATTAAAGTCTTTGAATCCCTTACCAAAGAGTGGGGAAACCTTCATGATCTGACTCCTCCCTTCCTGTTCAGCCTCACCTCTGCAAGTCCCCACCACACAGAGAGCTGAGGCCACAGGACACTGCAAGCAGATCCCCTTCTCTGCTGTCTTATCTAGAACACTCCCACCTCAGACTTCAAGACTCATCCTGAATACCACTTCCTCAAAGAGGCCCTCCAAGCCTCCACCCCGGCTTGTTTAGATGCCACTCCAACCCACCTCAGATTGTTTAGATGCTCCTCCTTTGTGGTTGTAAAACACACTGTACGTATCTCAATGATGGAACATGTCGCTCCGGTTCATAACTATCTATTTAATTGCTTCCCCTACTTGGACAGTGAGCCCCAGTGAGGGCACAGACTTTGTGGCCCTGGCACCCGGTGTGTTATTTAGTGCACCCTAGATCCTCAGTGAAGCTACAGGGTGAATGAAATAGAAGACCAGAGTGAGGGAACAGAATGGTGTCCTCCAGGATGTGGGTAGCCAGAGGCCAGAATTCTTCCCTCTGGCTTTGTGCTACAGAAAACACATTTCGAAGCATCAGTTCCTGCCGAAATCCACACAGAATCTGAACTTGAAGCTACTTGCTCCATTGTTCTAAGCCAACTGTTCTAGCAGAATTCGTATTCCAATGTGAAGAAATCAGTAAACGATGTGTAAGATACCATTACCCTTTTGGTGAGCAAGTGAGGCAGCTCCTCTTCAGAAACACACTCTTCTGGAATCTTTAGCCTGACCAAGAATGTTTTATTTGATGATAATTCAAGTATTTCGTTTTCATCTTCATCGATGTAAGTTACTAAAGAGAATGGGGGGGTGGAAATAGAAAGCAAAAGTAAAGTAAATGCATGTATAAAATAATAAATTTATTCCTTTCATTGGCTGCTATACATTAAAAAAAATACAATGAGCATTTATCGAGGTTAAAGCCTGGACACAATAAGCAAGGACAAGCAGAAATGCTTTCTGCTCTCAGTAAGACCAAATAAAGACCCAGCGTTGCCCCCATCATGATAAAAATTTTGATTGTTTGCTTTATGCCATAAGAGGTCTCAGACTCCACTGAATACAGACTTGGGGAAGGGCTGTCAGCAGGGAGTGGGAAGAACATGAATTTCTTTGTTAAACTGAATGTGCAGCTTAGCTATGTACACAGGTGTCGAGACAAGCGCTGGGAGACAGTCTAGGGGGTGAACAGTGGGTGATGGGGAACAGAGAGAGAGCAAGCGACCTCACTGAGTCACCTTCAGTTCTGTGCATATGATGAGGAAGTGTCATCATCCATCAGAACAGAGAGGGGACAAGAAATGAACACGTGAGCCCATGTCTTGAAATCTCCCCAGGAGGATGGGGACAGGCTGGAAGCCATCACTCTGGAGTATTTCCCACAGGAGAGGAATGTTGACACACTGTTTGAGGAAGGGAGACCAAACTGCACCAGGATCCCCAGGGCACACAGGACTTACATTCCTGGGTCACTGAGTTCCGTGTGGCTGCGTGTGTTCTAACGACGGTGAGCTAATTGATGTGTAAGCAGTTAGAGCTCATGGAAAAGCACACAAAGTCAGGAGCCAGGCGCCGGGAGCTGGCACTCACGGTGCTAACTCTGCTCCCCCGGCTGGCTGCCAGCTTCACCACTGGGCCCACACAGGGACCAGCTCCCTGGCCCTGAGAAAGGCGTGGGTGGACAGAACCAGGTGCTCATGTTGCGGTAGACTTTTCTCTCAAAGCCCATGCTTCAAATGTAACATAATCAGCCTCTTTTATTGGACTCTGAAAAGGCCAGAATGGAATAATTTCAGAGTTTATGAAAGAAGGGCAGGTGAAAAGAAGTAAGAATCCTGAGAAGCATTCCCGGAGAAAGTCTGGAAATGTGAGGCATTAGGAGCAAGGGAAGGTGCAGGAAAGAGGTACAGAGCAGGCCTGAGACTGCTGGCTTAGAAAGGCCTGCTTGAGGCTGGCCCTGGGGCTGGCCTCCCGGAACTGGGATTTCCAGAGGGTTCCACCATTCCCTGATAAGAGTGGCTCACTGTGCCTCAAGTGTTTGTACAAACAACGTGGCTTATGCGAACATCTCTTTTCCTTCTCAGTCTGCAATTTTATTATGTGCCAGGCAGAGGCTGCCTATGTGACCAGCACCAGTAAAAACCCTGGGTACTGAGTCTCTAATGAGCTTCCTGTAGACAACATTTCACGTGTGATGTCGCAATTCGTTGCTGGAGGAATCGTGTCCTGAAATTTGTGCCTGGTTTCCTCCAGATTTTGCCTTATATCTTTTGGCTGTAATAAGTCATCGTCATCTCAGTGACTATATGCTGCATCCTGTGAGTTCACCCAGCAAATCACTGAATCTAGGGGTGACCCTGGGAACCCCAAATGCAGGGAATTATCCCTGCCTCCTTATTTGTTGTAAATCACTACATTACGTTGTCTGACAATAAAAGTTAAGCCCTCATAGCAGAAAACTTGCAAAGTACAGGAAATTGTAGCAAAGCAAGAAAAAGAATACCAGTAATCCTTTAATTAAAAGGATTTTCCCCCACATGTTATATCATATAGTTGAGGTCTTAATGAGCAGATAATTTGTACGCTACTTTTTGTTGTTTGTTGTTGTCATTGCTTATTTGTCTTGGTTCTGTTGTTGTTGTTGTTGTTAACATATCAGAAGCCATTCCCCACATGTTTGAAATTCCTTGCAAAGATTATTTTAACGGCTACATAAATGTTCATAATTGGCTCCATTTACTTAAATCTCACTTTCAGTGTTCTGAGCTTTCCACTGTAATGATGCTGCAATGGATACATCTTTGAGTGTTACACCCACTAGGTACATTTCCATAGCAGATATCAGGGCCTTGGAAAGGAAGAGGGGATGCCGGAGGCTGGATACAGGTTTCACACGACTGCTGAGCTCAAGGGCCCTGAGAACAGACGCCAAGTTCTAAAAGAGGTCTCTACAATCAGCTCTAATGACATGTACTGAACTTGAATCATCTGAATAACGAATCTGAACCAAGACCTGGCTAAATAGCTGTATTTGTTAAAATAACAAGAACAATGAGTTTACCCAGTCCGAAGTTTTTATGTCACTAATGAGACTTCAACTGGGCAGCATTTTCCATGTAGAAAAAACGGGTTTAAAAAAATCGCAATACATACAAAGAACATTGGAGGTACATGAAAACTGCTTTTTGGCTGGAATATAAGACATGTGACTGGAGAGGGAGGCCTTATATGCCAGATGTCTTCAGAAGTTAATGGAGGGTTGTTAAGTGTCTCACGGGAAGGAGGTGGAGGTGAATCTGCTGGTGGTGGACAGGCAGAAGGGGAGGCAGAGAGTCCACTGGACATGAGATTGGGAGAGACCAATTTTGACAGACAGCAGTGGGAACTGGAAGGAAGGTGGGAGGGAGAAAGCCCAGGACAGTGCAAACAAAGCTGGCTTTAAAGGGAGGTAGACTTAGGTTGAACCCAAGTTTTGGCCAATATTAGCCATGCGACCTGAGCTTAAAATGAAGACATTGAGGTTTAGAGAACATGCGGAATTTGTTCACAACAATTGAGCTAGTAAGTAGTAGGGTCAGGATACATTTATCGACTCAGACTCAGAAATCATTTATATTTTACAAATGTGGAAACTGAGGCCAACAGGGTTGAAGAATTTGCCTAAAGTTACACAACAGGATGGTGGCAGAGCTGGAATTAACCTGGTCTCATGACTCCCCATGAAACTATAACAGGTAAGCTAACTGGGGAAGGGATACACACAAATCGTAGTTTCACATAGATAATGATTGAGAAGATGAGTTATTTCCAGGCAGAGCTCTCTAGCAGACTATGACTAAAACTCAGGAAAAATGTGTAGAAGCACATCTAGGAGTCACCTCCTGGAGGGGATGGCTGCTGCTTTGGGACTAAATGACTTTCTCAAGGGAAACAATGGAGAACGTGAAAAGTAAGAAGGCTGAAGACAAGCCTCACGCACCACAATGAGAGGCTGAAGGCTAAAATAGCAAGAGACCTAAAGTCCAGGGGTTCTGTAGATGGAGAGGAGCACACGAGAGTAACAGAGCCGAAGGCTTCCTCCTATTTGCAGGGGACAGAGAAAGGCCATTGGGTTTCATGATCAAGCAATTGGTGGTGACCTTGGGAAGAACAATTTGGGACCAATGGTTTAGGAGTGAGCAGGAGGTAAGATCCAAATGCAGACTTCTCTTTCTAGAAGTCTGCCAGTGAAAGAGAGAAAAATTATCTAAATGAAGGAGCAGATTCTGACAGAAGATTGTTTTGAAGGAGAGAGAACGCCGACACATTTCAAGAGGCCCAAGTTGAGAAGAGCCTGAGGATATTTAGAGAGAGATGGAGCTATCTGAAGGTCCATGGGTCAGAGGAAGCTGGAGAGGATTCTGTGGAGAACACAGGTGAAGAAGTCAGTCTTCGGAAGGTGGAGAAACACAGGAGACTTGAGGGAAAGAGAAACAAGTGAAAATGCAAAGAAATTTGAAGGTCCTGGGCCTACAGATTTGCTATTAACTTCCTGCTGTCAAGGACCTTCGTAGCTTGTAGCTTGTTCATGCTGTCTGCCCAGGATTTTCCCATGAGTCATCCTACACCAGAGAGCATTGCCCTGTGCAACCTGTCTGTCTGCCAGGACCATGTGATATCCTAAGACGTAGCTCTTATTCTCAACTCAAAGGCAAAACAAATCCATACAATACAGCATTACTTAGGAAGTCCCCACTTACACCTTGCTACTTTCCCTACTCATGGAAAAGCCTGTGTATTAAGAGAGCAAAGTGGTCAGGTAGATATCCATAATGCTGGGGCAAATCATATAGGTGTCCCTAGAGTGTTAAAACTGACCACTTTTAAATCATATATCTAATCACCCACCTACTTGTCACAGTTTGATCTTTGTAACATTTCAAACATTTTGCCCAAACCAAGGAAGGGTTTCATTAGTTAGGTGTTACTCAGGGTCTCTCCCCTCCCTGGTTGGGGTAAATTAGTAAAGAAAGTCGAACCCTTGAGGATGCTTAACTGATTCGCCAAATTATCCAGAAAGAAAACGACTTTGAGAGAGAGAGGAAAGGCTTCTTTCCCACTACCCTTCACACCAAGGAATTTATAATTCCTTAAGGAGAAGGAGAGAATTCATTAATACCCTTTCCTAAAAAGCTGGGACAAAACCAGGCCTCCAGACTCAACAGGATTCCCTGGACTCTGCCCACAGAATTGGCCATTTTAAAAAGATTTCATTGTCTGCTGTGAGACTGGCTGAGTACTAGCCTCTTCCCCATAGAGTGTAGGCAGCCCCAGTTCAATGACTTCAGCTGAGCCATGATCCTGAATTTGTCATCACTTCAGTGGCACACTAAGGGCAGAGTAGGGGGAGAGCCCACCCCCAGTGCAGGCAACAAGGGTGCACAGTCTGTAGAAAATTGACAATAAGAAAACCAACCACAGGGGGCTGGCCCCGTGGCCGAGTGGTTAAGTTCGCGCGCTCCGCTGCAGGCGGCCCAGTGTTTCGTTAGTTCGAATCCTGGGCGCGGACATGGCACTGCTCATCAGACCACGCTGAGGCAGCGTTCCACATGCCACAACTAGAAGAACCCACAACGAAGAATACACAATATTGTACCGGGGGGGCTTTGGGGAGAAAAAGGAAAAAAATAAAATCTTTAAAAAAAAAAAAGAAAAAAAAGAAAAAAGAAAGAAAACCAACCACAGGTTGGTCTGCTCAAATTATCAAGTGGCAGCAATTCTTAACGATGTCAGTGACATGATACACCTCCCGACAGCGCACCTCGCCCTGGATGCCCCATTTTCCTGTCCCCAACTAGTTACCCTTTCTGTTCTGAGACGTGTTTACTGTTCCCTTCTACGTCCACTCCAACTCCACAGTTATTCAAGCCCCCGTCCCCAAGCCTCAGTCTGGGGACTACAGAGCCCGAGACAGGAGAGCGAGGAGTTGGGAGGAAGGGGAGGAGGAAAGCACCAAGTAGCTATGATAGGACAAGACTGTGTGACTCAACTTCACTTTCAACATCCAGACGTGGGAGTTGATGGGAAGAGGAAGTTATCAATGCTCACAACAAAACTACTGTCCTCAGCAAGATCAAGGAGGTGCAGCACCTCTTATTAATTTCTCCCTACCTCAAAACCAGCCCATGGCCTCAAAGAATCACCCAGGCCACCTCAACAATGCCCTAAGTCACTAAGTGAACATGGTGCCCATCCGAGACACTCACGCTGGAGGTTGGCACCTGTCTTCAAAGTTTTACTATTCCTTCAGAGACTATAAAATCTTGAGATTTTTATCTCAAAAAGGGGTGGGGAGGTGGAGGAACATGAGGCGAATGGCAAATGTAGCTCCTGAGGAAAATTCCCAGGACTCCCTCTGGAGAGACTCAAGGACTCCCCATTCTTGCTCTCATCCAATGACTGGGTTTGTTATGGAAAGCCCGACTCAACCCAAATTCTTATGGAGACCAGACCACCCTCAAGACTATCCCAGGTCCAGAAGAGCCCTCCCTGCAATCACCCCAACATACAAATAAGAACAATTTTCTTCTTTCCTGTTTTGAAATTGAAATGATTGCCCACAGGAGGGTACTATAGTTATGCATCATAGAAACCTTAATAATACTGAAAATGATAAAAAATTAGCAACGACCTAAAAAGCTTTAAAATGGTGTGGAAGAATACATCATGTAGTATTAAAAAAGATATCCACAAATAATTTTTAATAAATTGGCAAAATGGTCTCAATATAACATTAAAATCCAAAAGGTAAGCCACAAGACAATTAAAAAAATCTGATTTCAAATTATTTTATTTATTTTTTATTTTTTATTTTTTTGAGGAAGATTAGCCCTGAGCTAACTATTGCCAATCCTCCTCTTTTTGCTGAGGAAGACCGGTCCTGAGCTAACATCCAAGCCCATCTTCCTCTACTTTATATGTGGGACGCCTACCACAGCATGGCTTGCCAAGCGGTGCCATGTCCGCACCCGGGATCTCAAATTATTTTTAAAATGCAAGTAAGTAAAAGACTAGAGGAAAACATAGCAAAATATTAATAATATGTATGGGCTTTCTGAGTAACATGTATTATTTTCATATTCATAATAAAAAATAAATAAAATGAGATAATAATTAAAGTGTATACTTAGCACCATGTAAGTTTTTGTTTTGTACACACATACAACATAAATATAACAGTTATTTCTAAAATAAGTTAAAATAATGACAGCTTACAGATACATGTTCCATAAAGTTTTAAAAACTCTTTCAAACACATTATTCATATTATCATTATAATAATATACCATGTATATCAGATGATGTACAATAATTATCTTTAGTAAACAAATTCTACAAGACAATTTTTCAAACAAGCAGGTGTAGAGATACAATAAAATATAAATTAGCATTTAAGTAAATTAAAAATTTTAAGAAACCTTCAAGATCCAATGGGTAGAATTTAAAGGAAACCAATAGTGTCCATACTTCTTCTAGAGTTTATAAAACAAACAAATAAAAAATGAAATAAAACCAAAAAACAAGAATTATGTATACCTCCCACCCATACAACATATTCCAAACCAGTTTTAAATTCATATTATAAATAGTGAAATAGTAATGAGTACATCTTCCATTTCAGTGTAATCCATAAGCGTTAAACAAATTCTTAAAATGCATCAACCTAGCCATGTTTAAATCCTCTTACCTCCAATAAGACATAAGCTTACGACGATTACTAAAATGAGACCTAGGAAAATAGAGGTGATGACCATCCACAGTTTGCACCTTCCAATCAAATTCTTATTACAGGAGCTCCAAGGGCTTTCCTTGTTAGCCTAGAGAGCAGAGGGAGATGGTGAGGCAGTCATTTGCTTTCAACAAGCATTTCTGAATACTTACTACGGGCCAGTGATACAGAAATGAGTGCAGCAGGATCCTGACCTCAAGAGGCCACAGTCTACTGAGTCAGGTTTACAAAGGAGCAAAATGGAACCCCACAAAGGAGTTAGCCAGAAAATGCTCTGGGGGCTCTGAGGTGGGAAGAATAGGCAAGATTTAAGGATGGACAGAGAAAGGCATTCCAAACCTGGGAAAGAGCATCCTCAATGTTGACTCACAATGGAATTGGCCAAGAGACTGGTCTGATGGGAATCTGGGTTTCAGAAGCAAGTAAGGAGAGTTAGGATTAGAGAGAGTGGAAGATTGGAGCATATTTGAGAGAGTTTTGAATGTAGCCAGAGCAGTTTGGGCCTAATTTGGTGTGTACTGGGAACCTGTTGAAGGTTCTGGAACACAGGAGCTGAACTGAAGATTAACAGAAAAACGATGTGCAGTTTAGAATGGACACACCAAGAAAAAGCTAAGAACCTACTGCTGTGGCCCACACTTATGTAATAAGGGCCTGGGAAGGGAAATGAAGGGAAGGACGGTAGAGACACCAGGAAACAAGCTGCAAGGGGCATAGTGAGGCGGAGTGTGGAGTTAGAGGAAGTAATTACAACCACCATGGTTTATTGAACACCAACACCATTTCACCTCATTCTGACTGCCCTGCAAGGGAGCCATTTGTCTATTTCAAAGACACAGTTCAGAGAGCTTAGCCAGAACTAATACCAGCTGTGCATCACAGCAAAGCTAGAGCACTCTCCCTCTTGTCCACAGCCTCTGGCATCACTGTGCACAGCTCCAGGTTACAAACATGCCTGGCTGCCGTGGGGGGCCTCCACTCTCAGTGCCACCACCTGCCCCTAAAAGGTTCCATGACTCTTCTGTTTCCCACTGAGCTGTTAGGCAATTCCGACATGGAGACCATGGGAAACAACAGACTATGATGGGGAAAAGCGTGTTTCTCTATCAGGATTCCAATTCCAGTTATACCACTTAAAAGTAGGGTGACTATCAGCAAGCCACCGAAATTCACCAGCCCCAAAGTCCTCAACTGTACAACATCTAAATAACAAATCTAGCTCACAGGGCTGTGGTAAAAACCAGAGATCAGGTGCACGAACCACTTGCTAAACAAATACTAGGAACTCAAGAAACGGGAGCAATCGTTACTCAGAGTGTTCACTTGTCCCACAAAGCAGGAACAGGCAGTTCCCAAGGCTCACCCCTGAATCGACACCTAGTTTACTTTCTCTCCTAACGTGACGCTGGTGGCCATCAGAAAAGGAAATTGTCCACAGTGGGAAGGACTACAGCTCAGACTTTCTCAGTGAGACGTTCCCAAGGCTGGCCGCCTATCAGAATCACCCAAGGAGGAACGTAAACTCCACATACCTAGGCCCTACTTGGACCTCGGGGACCAGATTGCAGGGGAGGTGGGGACAGGCCCAGCCTGTCATTTTCAGCCTCCCAAAGTAAATCAATTGCTTGCCCAGAACTGAGACCTCTGGTCGGAAGCCTTTCACTCTTCAGAAGCCATGTCCAATCTCTCCTTTTGTGGGGGCCCCCAACCACCCCCCTGCCTTATCTGGTTTCATGTTCAAATAGAAACTGATACTGGCCTTATCTTCCCAGGCAAAGTGACAGCATAGGCGGAAGGGCAGTTCTTAAACTTCCCTGTTCTTATATCCCACACTTGGGCCTCATACAGATACTAGGCAATTAATGAATGCGTGTTGCTTAGTTACAGAGTACTCCAAAAATTTTAAGAATGTACTGTGAGAAAATCTAGAGTAGAGGTCACACTGGAGCCCCTGCATGCACCTTACACTGGCCCTTCAGGTTGGGTGTGGGGGGCACGGTGAAGGCCCCAGAAATATGTGGACAGAGGAAACCCTCTCAAGTAAGTGTCTCTGGAGTCCAGGGTTGGAGCCACCTCTCACCCACAGCTGAAGACTGAGAACTGCTCCAAGGTCATGAAAGCCAGGGGCTTAAGAAGGCACATGGGGGAAAGTCTCAGTACAAGGACGCTTTAACTTCTCGGGACAGAAACAGAGCTTCCTATTTACAGAGCTCCCAAGACACGTGCCATTTTCAGTCCTTATACAAGAGACAGTGGGGACGATTAAAATGAGTACAAAATGAAAAGGTCTGGAGTCTCAAATGAGCCGCAGAATGAGGGGCCACCGGCCTCTTTGGCCTCTTGTGCCTTCATATACGTTGACCCTCACAGACCATAAACCGGAACCCTGGTGGTTTGAGGAGACCACCACTCTGTCACTTCCTGGGGGAACTGAGCTCAGAATCACACAGCCCTCATCTGTAGGAAATGCCTCTTCCTGTCCAGCGCCAAGCTCCCACCCTACACCCTGGCTCCCTTCACTGTCCTGTCATCAGCCCAATTGCAGAGACCACTGTCCTTTGCATGATTACTCTTCCCAGACTTTAGTCATTGTAAACAGTCTGTCCTCTCAACCTAACGATAGACTACAGGGCTCCTCAGTTGTCTGTACATTAGAGTCAACCGAGGACTCAGCGTTTTTTAGAAGCGCCCCAGGAGCGCTTTGCCTCACTGTGCCTTCAGGGTGGGGAGCCTCTAATACAGCAGATGTCTGCTACCTGTGCACACTGGGTCATGAACACACACGGCCTCCTCCACTGGCTTCCTCGTTCTCTCTTGCCCAAATTCCAGGTCATGAGGAGAGGCCACAGGCAGGGTCTCCTTCAGGGTGCCTTCCAAAGGGTTTTGCAAACTGCATCTTACATTCTATGACTGCATCATATGGCTCAAGAATTTTTGCGGCTTTTCTCTAAACAGTCCCCCAGGTATTCACATCCCTCCTCAGATAAAGATCTAAATACACAACACAAAGTCCTACAACAATGACAGGACTACCCATCTCTTAGATACAAAAAGGTCTTCTTCGCTTTGGCTCAATCATGAGCAGATATTACACAGATCACGGAAAAATTTGTAAGCATGTAGTAAAAGCTTCTTACAATGAAGACTTTGTAATATTCATTGTGGGGTTTAATCCACTTGTTGGTCCAAGCACAAAAAAGGCAGTTGACTCTTGTCCTAAATTCTGAACAACAAGTGGCAATGGGGCTAATTTTTAGCCAGCCCGTTCACATAAGTCTTGGCCTGCCTCAAAACTATCAATGTACTGGATGATTATTATTATAATGATGCTACCATGTCTCTGTGACTTCTGTTTGGAAACTGAGGTCTGAGCCCGTGTAATGAGCCATAAAAAAGAAAACCAGTCTCACTCTATTATGCTCAATTCCTTTTTCACTTTTGACCCATCTATACTGCCATGTTTACAATAACGGAAAGCAAGTGAAGTTCACTGGCTTACATTCCTGTCCCTCAAGCACCAAACCCAGATAAAGAAAGAGAAAGAAGTTCTTTCCACTGCCATGATGGCCCTTCCAAGCAGGAAGAGACCCAGGAGATGGCATGTCTTCTTCCCAATGATCCAAAACTCTCAGCTGTCCACCCATCCACCTGCCACTCTCTCACCATTTCAGATACACCACTCAGCGCCTCATATTCACTTCAGTTCCTCAACTTACAGAAATTAGTAACACATAACTTAGACAATTATACATAAATGAGTATAAATTATATATTTATATATTTAAGTGATATGTTAATACATATCTATACATATAAACTAAATCAAGAAAAACACCATAGGTTTGAGCCCTAAAAAGCCTAAGTTCAAATCTCAGAGCCACCCCTGAGGGAACCTGAATATTCTGGTAACTCCTCTGAGCCTCAGCTTCTTCACTCAGTTTCTTCTTCTGTCAGCTCAGAATACCGACACCTTCCTCTTAAGTTTGTGGTGATAATGAAATGCATTTATGTATGAGAAATATTTGGCACATGATAGGTACAAAACACGTGGCTAATAAAAACCAGGGACTTAAGCTACATTTCAAAATTGGAAATCTTAACAGATAAAGGCGACCTACACACAAAATGCTTAAGAGTCTGAATCTGTAATTGTGCTAGCCAACGCTTTGAAGGATGCTACGTTAATGGGCTTTTCAATTTAAAATACACTTCTACTTATTCTGTAGAACCAAAGAGAATGATTAACACCTCAGATGAGGGGTTTTTTTCTCTTTCTTAAAGTTTTTCCTGTTCAAGCCTTTCTAGAGTGTAACCTTTTACCTTCATGCCATTCTGTTAGTCACCACAGCTTTCCTACCGGGTGACCTACAAAGAGAATTCACAAGGAAGTCTAGGACATCTGTACACACCTGACCAAGGAGGAAGTCATTAGAACATGAAAGAGCAATCTCTCCTGGGCAGGTGCTAAACAATGACAAAATACTGATACCCTACGTGTGCTTGGCAGGCTCCACTCCTCACTGTTTTCGAGGAGGCATTCCCCGGCCACTTTACATCAGCAACATTTGACGGCTCAGAAAATACAGACCTTAGTGCCTTGCGCCAGGACCCACGTTTTAGCAGTGAAAAGCATCACCAGATCTCTGGGTTCCGTCCTAAACTGTGGAGTCTTTGGGGTGTCCTGGGCTTGTCTAACATGAGGTAGGTATTCCCAATTCCCACTCCTAGACATTGCCTTGGAGGAGCCACACACCAAGTCCACGGTTGTGGCCGCTTGCACAGGGATCAGACCATCTCCCTCCAACTTCTGTTCTTCTGTGGCGTTCATCTTTTATTCAAATATAAGGCCCTCAACTACTCTCCAAGTACCTGTAGGTGCCCATAAAAGCACACAGGAATCAATGCAGAGGCAAAAGCAATGCTCCCAACTTTTGAATTTCCCGCTTAGCCCTGAAATTAACAGTTGAGCAACCAAAGGGGTGGGAGATGACCTAGAAAGATCAGGATGGAACCCTACATATATGGGGAGTTCCATGTACCAGTAAACCTCTGGCCAGTCTCAGGGGTTAATCAGAAGGTAGATGGCTCAGAATTCAGTCTCTAGTGTTTTACAAGCATTTGACGAAAACGGATAATGCTCCTGTCACTGCTAGGGCTGAATCAGAAAAGAGCTTAGCCTAAACATCATCTTCTTTAGAGACTGAGACCATGCGTAGCTAGCTCTTTGGGACAAGAACTTTGAAATTATTTCCCTTCAGTTGAGTAGGGGAAGTTCACCCCGCAGCCCTTCTCGTTCTTGCTGCCTTCTCCCCTCTCCCGTCTCTCTTCCTGCAAAATCAAATGACCAGGTTGGAAAAAGAAAGTGTGTGTCTAGGGGATGGTGAGCCGGGATGTGGACGTGGGGGGGAGGGGCAAGGGGGGGGTCGGTGAGTGAGGGGTAGGATAGGGTGGAGGATGGGTGGAAGTAGCAAGGCGGTAAAGAGATTCCGAAGAAAAGGAGAAGCCTCCAGCGATCACTCTAGTCCTCCCTACTTAGAAAAACTGAAAGTTACAGAACTTCTTAAAATCACTTCTACCTCTGAGAGTTCTCTCTCTGAAGAGGGGAGCGGCACACCTCACAAGTAGGATTCCCCACGCTCCCTGGGGGCGAGAGGGGCCGAGGAGCTCGGGCAGGCTCAGTCTGGAGCGCTCCACTCCGAATCTTCCAGCGCGCACCTGCACCCGCGCCTGGCCTCCGGCGCGCGCGGAGAGCTGGCTGGAACCCGCAACTCCGAGTGCCAGGCCCGGGTCCTGGCCGGCAGCCTGGCTCAGAGTGCGCTCGGATCACGCCGCCAGCGCCAAGGAGACCTTACCTGGGCTGGGTAGGGCTCCTCGGGTGAAGTGATCGTCCCTACGGCTCCATTGAGAGGGGTCTGCTCGTCCGGCTGCCCCTCGAGCACCGAAAGCTCCAATTCATCGCCCGGCGATGGGGGTCTGGCCCCTTCCATGAAGGGGCAGAGGAGGACTAGCCAGCCCGCGGGCAGCAGAACGAACGCACCCGAGGGTGCAGAGTCCAAACTGGCCTCCCGGGTGACTCACCCTTCACCTGTGAGGAGGGCGGGGCGGGGGAGACCTCCCGAGGCGGGAGGGGCAGAGCGGGCCGATGGGGGGCGGGGCGGGGAGGCGGGGCGAGCGGGGCGGGGGGGGGCGGGGGAGGCAGCCCGGGCTCCTGCAGGGTACAGCCGCAGTGCCCGGCCGGTCGTGGGTTCCAGAGCAAAGCAGATGAGGGCTGTTTTTCTGGTTTGTTCTGGAAACCGTCTGCTCTGCCTTCCCCTGTCGGTGCAGATACAAAGCAGAAGCTGAGCCGGGGGCCTAGATGGGTGACGGGCTGAGGCTTGGATGGGCCCAGCAGAGCCATGCCACGGTAGAAAGTTGGCATTCCACCCCAAGGAGCTGTCTGTTGCCAGGGCTTGCCCCAGCTTGCATATAATCAACAAATAATTATGCGTCTCCTGCATGCCAGGCATTGTGCGAGATTTTGAGCATCTGAAGATGAATAATACCCACGAACACACTCCTTCCTTTTACAAGTCAAGCGTCAGGCAAAAAGACAGTATTGAATGGTGGAGGACACAGCAGGCTCTGGAAGCACGCTGCCCAGTTTAATCCTCTCTCAGAGGGTTCCTAACTGTGGGACCTTGGGCTTCATCTCTCTGTGCCAGAGTTTCCTCATCTGAAAAGTTGGCATAATGTTAGTACCCACCTAATGGACTTGTTGCCAGGATTAAAAGAGTGAATGTCAGTAAAACACTCAGAACAGTGACTGACAGCTAGCCAACATTCATATATGTTGGCTATTATTATTTACCTCTAGGGGGAGGAGTCATAGACCCTCACTGCGCAACCTGAGGAAAAAGCACGTCGACCCCCACACAATCCACAGTTCAGAATTTCTAGTTTCATGAGCCCAGCGTTATGTTTGCTAAGCACAGTGTGTCTGATCATCTCAAGCTTCTGCTCAGAGCAGCCTTGCCCCTACTTCTCACCCCTGCTCCCAACACACACATATGTTGAGACCAGTCTGAAGTGTGGATAGGGTGCATATAAATAAGCTCCACTTCAGAACATGTTGACTTGTGTCCGAAAGTCCGGCCCATCAATGCCTACTGTTCAGATACTGCCTAGATGTGGGGTCTCTGGTTGTCTCTTGCCTGCTGCCAGATCATCTGGCCTTTGGACTCCTCCTGCCTGCTGGATGGGGTTGTGCTCACTGCAGCCACTCAACCGCCTGCCTGCACTGACTTCTGCATTCTCTGCTTCCACAGGCAGATCCTGTAGGAATCACGCTCCACTTTTGGCTGGAATTTTTTTTCTCTCTTGTTTATTTCTTTTTTGTTTATTTCTTTTTTTTTTTTTCGAGGAAGATTAGCCCTGAGCTAACATCTGCCACAAATCCTCCTCTTTTTGCTGAGGAAGACTGGCCCTGAGCTAACATCCATGCCCATCTTCCTCTACTTTATATGTGGGACGCCTGCCACAGCATAGCTTGACAAGTGGTTCACAGGTCCCATCTGGGATCCAAACCGGCGAAGCCTGAGCCACCAAAGCAGAACGTGTGAACTTACCACTCACTGCACCACCGGGCTGGCCCTTTGGCTGAAATTTTTAAGAGGCTTTTAAATGAAGGAGTAAGGGTTAAGGGAAGCAAGAAGGGGTGCTGAGGCACCCAAAGACTAGCAACAGCAGAAGGCCATCTGCTTTCTGCATCTAAATGGGACTGGAGCCTGAGTAAAAACTGGAGCCTCTCAGGATGGGCCCCCTGACAGGCTCTGTAGTCACAAAAAGATGCAGCCACTGCCAAGACTGTGGCCCAGCAGGGAGGAAGCAGAGAGGAAGACGTACTCTGACCTCTCTCCCGACCTGCCAGTCTCCTGCCCATCACTCCCATTGGAAACTGGTGATGGGGACTGGGGGTCGGCCTCCCGGGGCTCAGAGCAGAGCAGAGAACGAATCTGGGTTGCAAAGAGAGAGGAACCTGCACACAGACCATTCCCTGCAATAACTGACATCTAGTCTTCTTTCTCAGGTGTTCCCTAGTCGGGAGACCCCTCTGGTCTGACCACATTCCTCTTCCTGACTGGACCTGACCAGTCCCATTGTATGGCCCCCCACTGCTTTGTATATGCTGTTCCCTCTGCTTGGAATGTTTTTCCTCCCACCCCACCTTCTGCATGGACAACTCCCATTCATCCTTTAAATTCTAATAGAAGCAGATTTTTCCTACTAAACCTTCCCAGACTCCCCTCCTCCACCGGAAGTTATCCACACTCTTCTCTGCTACTGGTGCATGTTGTACCTGTGCTACATACATCACTTATTCAGTCCAGTTTCATCCAAAAAGTAGTACTGAGTGCTTGCTACGTCTTAGGCATTCTTCTGGGCGCTTGAGATATGTCTAAAGAGGCACCGAATAAAAAAGAACCACTGCCATTGGGTGGCTTACATTTAATGAGGGGAAGAAACTTAAACAACATTTCCAAAATATTAGAAGGGGACGTGTGCTGTAGAAAAAAACGTAAAGCCGAGACAGGGAGGACGGAGTGCTGAGTGGTAAAGGGTGGGGGAGGGGGGAAGTTGCAATTATTAGTAGAAGGATCAACTTAGGCCTCATTAAGAAGGTGAAATTTGAGCAAGGATTTAAAGGTAGGAGGCAACTGGCTGAACAGATCTCTGAAAGAAGAGGGAACTCCCGGACAGAGGACCTGAGAGTGGAACCTGCTTGACTTTTACTGTCTGAGAATCCATAAAGAGGCCAGAACGGCTGAAGCGGAGGATGAGCAGTAATCTTTGTCTTTGTCTGTCATTATATCTTTAAACTCCTTGAGGTAGTTCTGTATTCCCGGTACTTAGCTCTGCGTTTAGCCCAGTGCCCTCTGTGAGTGCTGATGAACTCGAATGATGTTCTCAGCAATGACGGTTTGGCAGGCCCAGGGCCTAAGACCCCGACTAGATGCACCAAGACCTCTCAGAATCTGACTCCACCCTTACCCAGAGCCCAGACAACCTTTCCCATAGTGCCGTCGCTGGACTGCAGGAGCTCAGTCTCACTGGGAGAGTCCCTCGTCACGTCAGATGGGTTGCAGCTATCTTCCAGCCTGGTTTCTCCATGAACAGATGTCCAAAATCTCCTTCACTCTCCAGAGGACCAAAAAGCTACTGTTTCCTGTCACAAGCACACTCTACACCAGCTCTCCTGGTGCCCTCTGAGCACCATAAAGCAAGGTCGATGCATCCTTTAATCTGGATTCGGATGCATTTCCAGAATTCCATAAGCTCAGCCGTTGTACACTGTTGACATGCCTATGGCAGAATAGGTTTTGAAGACAAGCAGAGTTAGGATCAAATTTAGACTCTCACTATCTGTGTGTTCTTGGGCAAGTTGTTTACTGTCCATGAGCTTCTTTCCTTATTGTAAAATGATTCCTACTCAGTGGAGTTAGGAGGATTAGGTAAAGTAATTAAAGCAAATGTATTTTTATTTATTTCTGTGCCTGACAAAGCAGAATCTCAATAAGTATCCCCATGTTTTCAATGACTATCAGTGTCTTATAACTAATACCCAACTACCCCAACCCTTTGCACCCAGTGATAAGCTTTGATTCAATATATTTTCTTTTGATATTGATTTGTCTTCCTGTCCTGTCACATTTTCTTGATCACTGACGCTTGCTGACACCTCCCAATGTTACCTGAACTACTTAAATTCTTACCTGCAACCTGTTCCTAATTTCTGGTAACTGTAAATTTCTTAATCTCCAGACAGTTGACCTAGAATGGAGATGAATGTTCCAACCTCTACTTGAGAAGTTTCTTCATCCTGCCAGTCTGACTCCAAACTAAGGATTCAGAATGAGTTAGAGAAAAAGTGCTTCTCTCTGGAGGTAGAACCAGATTTAGATGAATCAACTCCTGAGGAAAGTTAAGGATTTGTGAATGAGGAACCAAATTCTACCTAGATTTGTTTTTGTAATTTTTTCAAAATCCATTTCTGTAGGGGTAGCTTTTTAAAGTGCATTATTCTTTCATAAATAGTTCTTTAAACATGCTTTTTTAAAAGTGTACTGTTTTTGCACAAATATTTATTTTTAATATAATTTAGAATTATTATCAACTCAATTGTTTAGTTTGTTCAAAGAGCCAAATTTAAGTAACATTAAAAAATTGAAACATTCTTGTTACCAAATGTCCTTGGTGTAGCTGACCAGTACAGTCACGAACCACGTAATGACATTTCGGTCAACTACAGAATGCATATAAGATTAATATCGTATAGCCTAGGTATGTAGAAGGCTGTGTCATCCAGGCTTGTGTAAGTACACTCTATGATGTTCACGCAAGGACAAAGTCACCTAACAACGCATTTCTCAGAACATATCTCCATCTTTAAGTGACACATTACTATGTGAGATTTTCAATTTTGCTTTTCTTGTCATAGTACTTGCTCTTCTTTCTTCATCTCCTTTAAGAGCAAATGATTTCCCAAATGGTTAGTGTATAAACCAAAGAATAAAGTAACATCATCAAAGTAACATCACCAAAGCACCAAGGCATCTCATTATCTTCAAATAGGTCTGTGCCTCTTGAAAACACAGTTTGTACCCATACATTGTCAGATGGCAAGCAGTGCTACTCTGAACATCAGTGATTCGGTCAGCCACTCAGGCTAATCAAGCAGAAAACAACTGAGAAATAGTTGGTTGGCTTGTGATGTTTCATTTTGGAGTTTTCAAGGCACTGTGAAGGACAGCAGGAGTCCCTACAAATTCTTCCCAATAGCTTGGCACATGGAAGGACTCCTGTCTGGGTTTATGGAAGCCATTCCACTCTGCCAACTGAACCAGTCTTAGATTTGCCTCCATTCACACCTTTGCAAGAACAAAATGATATTCTCATATCATTCAGGTTCTAAACACATCTTTGGATGAAATAACCAAGTAAGTTAGGTTGGTGTTTCTCAACTCTTTCCCCACTCCTGCATGCTGAGGAACATGCTCCACTCACATTAGCACCAGCAAGTGCTTAGAGCAGTAGCTTGTACGTGTGGTTTGAAAACCCCTCTCTGATGAATCTGATGCATCAAGCCAGCCCTCCTCCTTTGATATCACAAACTCATGCAAAGATTCTGATGTATTTTGCTGAACAGCAATTCTTCACCTTAGAAATGACCATAAGTAAAACGTACAATTCACCTTATACCTAGGTCACAGCAATACCAGGCAAAATAAACCTAGGTTTTAAGGATTGCCAGCCTAATTTGCTCTTCTATATAGTAGATCCAGTAGCTAAGTCCCCCTTGTAAGTTAAGTGGTACACTCTGAATTGCACTATCGCAGAGCCGGTTTACTGAATCCTTAAGGACCTATTCAGACAGGTAACTAAAATGCTTTATCCTTTATCTGAGGGAAACGGTCTTTTAAGAGGAAATCAAAATATGTTCTATGAACTGGAAAATATTCACTATCTCAGGAAAATTATATCCAGATTTCAGTCTTTCTGTCTGATCTGGGAGACGACACCTGTAGCTCTCTCTCCTTTTGCAGTTACATTAAGATTTTCTGAGGTCCCATGAAAGCCATTTTCACTATTCTGGACGCTACTTAAAAATAGCATTGTTATTACTTCTTTGACTTTGTCCCAGGGAAAAGGTATTGTTAAGTCTGGCCTCTGTTAACGAAGAGATCATTCTGAGATCAAGTGTGAAACTCTTTCAATCAAGACCAAAAACTCAATAAATATGATATATTGAGCATGTACTGTAGGTTTACAACTATGCTAAATCTTAAAGGGCCCCGAAAATAAAAGAAAATCTTGGCCATTGGAGTATATAAAATAAACAGAAGCCAGATGATAATATTTCTGAAAAATTTCACTTCCAAAACATTCATCCAAAAATTCTCTTGTCTTTCAACTGCTGACCAACATTATTAAAATTTCCTTAAATTCCACATAAATGCTTTCAATCTAACTATCATGATGCTTCAATCTATCATTTTAGTGAAATTACTAACCATCAGTTTTGTTGGTTGGTTGATTTCTTTCTCTGTACACAATATTTCCACGTGACATGACTGAAGAAAGTCCCCTATAATATAATTAGGAAAAATTGGATTGGAAAGCAATAATATAGATACTTCTGTCAGTAACTGAACTTAGCTTTATTAGCATTGTGAAGGAGCATATGTTGTACATGTAATTTCATGAGAACACTGAAGATCAGGCACGGTTCTTTTAATGGAATTTCTTATTTCAATAAATCAAGTTTGCCTAAATTCTTATAAATATCTATAACTGGAACAGGAACATAAAGTACGGATATCTGAGCATCTCACCCACTTATTTTCTTATTTTAGAAGCTTAGTTCATGACATTATTTTAGGTTTCTTCTATTCCTGAATCACTGGCCTTTGATGCTTAAGAATGAATATAGTTGGGCCAGCCCGGTGGCACAGCGGTTAAGTGCTCACGTTCCGCTTCGGCGGCCCGGGGTTTGCCAGTTTGGATCCCAGGTGCGGACATGGCACCGCGTGCCAAGCCATGCTGTGGTAGGCGTCCCACATATAAAGGAGAGGAAGATGGGCATGGATGTTAGCTTAGGGCCAGTCTCAGAAAAAAGAGGAGGATTGGCAGATGTTAGCTCAGGGCTAATGTTCCTCGGGAAAAAAAAAAAAAAAAGAATGAATATAGCTATATCCTTCACATGGAATAAGATACATATGAATCTCTCTGTCTTCTAATAAATACCAAATGTACAGAATCTGAAATTTGCAGAAAAAATAGTCTCTTTTTATTTATAATTACTGCATGGTTTTTAAAGAATCTATCACATAAATCACAGTCAAAAATCCAACTTGTACGATTACAAAAGAGAAGGGACGTATTTATGAATCCAAGGAACAAAGTTTGACACCCTCGTGTAAACACCAGGAAAGTTTGGTCTTCCACATCCATGTCCCCAGCTAACAATGCCAGTCAAAATCCATTTTCCGTCACTTTTTCTTCGACAAGATAAAGGTCCACCCGAATCTCCCTACACAAGAAGACAATGTAAGTATGAAATACATTTGTCACATGATCATCAATTTTGTCATTATGTGTCTAATGGATTGTGTTCAAAACTCCCATTCTGACGGGTTTTGGCTTGGCTAATTATCATGCAGTTTGGGGAAGTGTCGAGAAATAATGTAAAACTTCTACTGTCACTTTAGAATTATTCTTCTTATCAAAAAGCTGCATTCATCATCAGAAACTTGATTCTTTAAACTAAGCGTAACATTAAAATATTCTTGCAGGGGAAACAACTCCCACATACCCCCAAACAAATAACAAACTTCACTAGTAATAATAATAAGGGCTAACATTTATTTAGTGCAAGCTATGGGCTCAGCACTGTCCCGGGTCATTTAATCCTCACAATAACCTTACAAGGCATGGTCACCTCGGGAGGCTGACCTCTACCTCAGGGCCGTGCACCTTCAGCGGTTGGCTCACAGCCCCAAGGAAAGAAGAGACCTGGTTTAGTTGAGCAGGTCCAATGAAGCAACCCTAAGGCTCACTGGCCAACAGCTGTCACAGACAAGTCACCCCCACTTGAGTGCCCCTCCTTATATCTCAACTCCACAAAAGCAAAGGCTAAAATAATTCAAAGTAAAAGGGCACATGTATATAGTGACAGATGGCAATTAGACTTTGGGAGTGAACATGATGTTGTCTTACAGAAATCGAAATATAATGATGTACAAATAAAAAATAATTCAAAGTTTAAATATAATTCCTGCAGTATTCATCGTTTAAATTATAACATCTGGATTTTTGTTTTCTTATTCTGAAGGATCGGTAAAGCTGCAACTTACTCGGGGGAAAAGATGAAAAAGCATTCAAATTTGCCCCGTATCCCACCCGTACAATTTTGAACGTGATTAGGTAAATGCTGACTACTAGAGAAACTTGGTTCTTTTTATTTTAATTATTGCTACACCAACTCTACTAAGTCTAATTTAACTTGTAAACCCTGGTGGCTCCTTGGAACAGGACTACGTAACTGACCAGTTGCAGGAAGCACCCCAAACATAGTAGCTTTAAGGTTAGAGAGATAAGGGTTCAAATCCCAGCTCAGTTATTCACTTACTAACTGTGTGACCTTGGGTAATGTACTTACCCTCTCTGTGCCCCAGTTTCCTCTTCCATAAAATGGGATGAAAGAATGATTTGAATGAATTTATGTAAAGCATCTAGCACAGTGCTTGCCACAAAATAGGAGATCAGAAGAGAGAAATCATTATCATAATAAGATGAATTTTTGTGGCGGGGTGGCTAAGGTTGTAGAAAGGTGTGGGAACAGCATCCACTGTCTTCTTCATCCTCTACATCATCTGTCTACTTTTGACAATCATATAGACACCTGCATAGATTGGAATCTGAGGCTCAGAGGAATGGCCTCCAAAGGTGACCTCCAATGTTATCAGTCAGGAGGCCTACAAATGAGTGTCCTCTATCACTTCTCCCACTCCTTTCCCCCAGCCTGAGTCAAAAGAGTAAGTGAATAAAACCCTTATTATTTTAGAAGGTAAATGGTTGCTGCTAAGGAATTAGGTAGTAATCCTAAAACACTATGGGTGTGTATGCGTTTTGCTTTGTTTTTTAGTTTTTGATTATAAGGAACTCATAGCAGAATGATAAATGCTGACCTCATTCTCTACATATTGGAGGAAAATACATGGGGACCAGAAAACTGAGTTTTATAGACCCAATTATTTAATCACCTTTCTCTGATCTTAGACAATTGGATTATAATCATAATCTGAATTAAAGGAAACACCTGCCCTAGTTATTTCCCAGTTGGTGTAGATTAAACATGAAAGCATTTATGGGAAGGACATGTTAGATGACTTACTCTGCAAGCATCTCTCTTGCCTGACATGACACCTGCACAGAGCATCCGCGAAGTGATGATGCCATAGGTGGAAACGCAGAGGGTTTGGTCAACGAGCTCTACCTCTGCCTGCTGCAAAACTGGGGAGCCTTTATTGTCTGGAAAACATGGTTGGAAGGAGAAATCATGGTAACGATCACACTTATTCAGAGCTTTATTGGACAATTTACTCACATTATCTCCTTTTGTCTTCAAAATAATTTTTTGAGGTGAATTCTATGATGATCTCCATTTTACTGCTGAAGAAATGGAGGCTAAGGAGGTTGAAGGACTTGCCCAGTGGCACAGACAACGAGCAAGTAACAGAGAAGGATTCAGACCCAAGGTCTGACTCAATCATCTGAGCCACTGCACCAAACTCCTCTGCCAGGTACCTCCTGCAGCAGGACTGTGAGTCAGCACCAGTGACTACCAATACTCGCTGGTCCCGAGGGCCCACCCCTTAAGTGGAGAAGCACAGCTAACATATGCGAGTGTCCAGGGAACATAACAGTTTGGTTATCGCCCTTTCACTTCCTTCTTACCCTGTCTGGCTAAGATGATTCAGAAAAGTAAACACACACACACTCATACTTGTAAAGGAAATGTCTCAGGACAAGTTGGTTGAGTCAACTCTTTCGTCTTGTGAGATACGTAATTAAAGCCCTAAGCACAGTCCTGGTAGGTTATAGGTGTTCAAGCAATTAGCTGCCTTCCTTCACTGGGACCCTGAGACCTTGGCAGGCCCAAACTGGTAGTGAAAATCAGGAGTTCAATAGCTAAATGAAGGCAGCGAACACTTGAGAAGCTGCCTACAATGGGTCTTTAGAGAGTATCAAAGGGTAAGCTTCAAGATTTGTGGAAAATGTGTCTGTCACAAACCCTTGGAAATGACTTCAAGGGAATCTGGGCAGACTGGAAGGTCAAGGGAAAGCATAGCACTAACCCTTGGGGAGATGTTCACAAAGCTTTGGATTCCTCCTCTCGCTATATATTTAGAATCATCTATGAATCTTAGACTGTGAAAAATGTTGACAGGGCAGATATAGGGACTTCCCTACGGTATTGTCTGACCTTTGTGCATAACAAAAAAGATGCCCCCTCTGGGTGGAGGAGTAGTAACAAGGCATCCCCTCTGAGTGGACCAATTCTAGGCTGATGCAACCTCCAGGCCTGAATGTGCAGTCTGGGGAGCTAAGGGCAGGCTGGATCCCAGCCCTCACTCTTATCCCCTGTGCCAGTTGCCCTTGTGATGGACACACTCCCATAATCCTCCAGACAGTTGTCTATGAGTTGACACAGTAGGGTGTGTTTGTGTGTGTATCCTTCTCTTGTTTATGAAAATGAATCGCTTCTTTGGATGAAAGGACACCTGAAAATAAGGAGGAATTGCCCTTCTCCAGTGAAAAACTTAGCAGACCCCTCAGAGTTTGAAGAGGTCCCATACTATCTATCCAATCCTGCCTTGTTCATAGACCCCCCCCCTTATGAAGTGGGTCCCGTTTCTTTTGCGGATAAGGGGCGAACATTATAAAACAGGAATAATAATACCCTCCTCCATCCTACCTCTCAGAGTTGTTAGAGACCATATACAGCAACACTCTCCATGGACCTAAAGCACTCCATCAGCACAAGTTTACATCATCTGGAGGGGAAGGGCATGAGCGCTCACTCAGACACACACCTGCTTCGTGCCTTCGCCCCCAGCCAGTTACCCAGCACTTCTCCCCACTGCGAACTTTCTGGCCAGCGGGAGGGATGCATATTGGCTGAATGAGCTGTTTCAGGGTCTCGGGCCAGGCGATACTGAGCTGTAGCAAGGCAATGTCGTAGTCAAAGGTCTGGCTGTTGTAGTACTCGTGGACCACAATTCTTCTCACCGGGGAGACAAACTTGGCATTGCCCTGCACATACATCCCAAGGTGAGCAGTCCATGGTGTGGGGTCTGACAGCCTAGAAGAAAGGGAATGAAGCACCAAGTCAAATGCTCGAAGGACCGTACATGGCTTGGAAACAAGCACTCCACAGAGAGCTGAGCGCTGCCGAAAGGGAGGCCTGACTTTCAGTCCTGTCATAGTCACTGGCTCTGTCTGCAGACACGGCAAGAAGCATAGCTTTTCCCAGCTTCCTTGTCTCCTCAGGGAAACCAGAGACGAAGTAAGGTGTAGTATGGCTGGAAAATGATATCCATGTTCCAGAAAGTTCCCTCAACCTCATCCTAAGGAAATGCTGGAAATTTTGTTGCCACTGGTATTTCATGAACCACACACAGGTCAAGAGTGTCGGTAAGAAACTAATCTGGTAAATTCTTCCTATTCACGCTAACAATGGAATTTGATGAAGACAGACAGGGCCAGGAAGACAGCAATCTTGGGATCCTTTTGCCAAATTCAAATGATATGAATACCCAGATAGAGTAGAAATCAAAATGTTATAAGCAGGAATTTAATGAAATTCCTTCTTGTCCACTACCACAAGCTTTAAAGCTCATGGCTCTAACTGCTCGAGCATGACCATTCACAGAAGTACCACTCCTGTTAGTCCTTCCAGAACTCTAGTCCCGACCCCCGCGGCCCTGCACAAAGTCACCCAAGGTCTCATAGTCTCCATGTGAGGTGTCCATCTCCACCAGCACAGCAGCTGCTCTGGTGGGGTGAAGAGAATGTGGAAGCTTTGGAAGAAAATAAGGACAGAGCCCAAAGAATGTAGCCCCTAATCAGCTTAGCTGACATCTCCCTGGAGAGCTGGGTGAGCTCACAGGTGGCACTGGGGACCTGGGGGGTATTCAAGTTAACACATTACTTGGAGCAGTTTCATAGCATAAAAGACTAGTGATCAAACAGAAGCATAGCTATTTTGGTCATTAACATGAATCCTGACATTTCCAGAAGAAGTAAATCCTCTAATCACATAAATTCTTTGAAAGACTCCACTTGTAAAAGTTCAGAATGAGAAATCGATGATATTATTTTTGTATCTAAGATTTCAGTAGGTTCCAAATAAGGTTACATTTTAAGCAAAGTTATTTTCCAAGCTTTCCTTTTACCCTTAGCTGGAAGGTTGTCTGCCCTCTAATAATCTCGTTAGCAAGGCAGACAGAGCCCTTCCAGCTCCAACGCTAAGGACCCTTCCAGAATCCCTCTCTCACTCTAAATAGGGATCCCCATGCTCCAGCCATCCTCCAATACCCACTCTCCACACATTCCCATATTCCACATTCTCCACACATTCTCATAGATTGGCTCCCTCTCACTTGAATGCCCATCCTATTTTCTCAACCTAGTAAAAGCCTACTGGTTCTTGATGCTTCCTTTGTGCTCTTCTTTTTTCTTTACATCAATAATACCTAAAAAGAATGTTTGGCACACAATTGGTGTCAAAGAAAACCACCAACTGAACTGATTGAAGGTCTCCAACAGGGCGCTTCTTCCCACAACTTGAGGGCGGATGTATCGTTTGTGGCCAGAGAGAGTGTCACATTAGAGTACCGATTGAGATAACCTACCTGTTTCCATGGAAACAGTGGGCGGCAGAGAGAAGCCACTCCCTGGAGATGACTGAGGCTCCACAGTAGGCAACTCCGACAAAGTGGAGGCTGACTTGCCATGGCCAACCCCCTTCCTGCGTGTCGGTGCCCCCGATGATGCGGTGGAGGATGGAGGAACTTCCACTGCAGCCTTTAGGAGAGGAAGGGTCTTATGATTTAAAAGCAGACTTAGAAGAAAAACTGGAAGTTAAGTTGGGTTTAGAGCTGGGCTGGGCACTGACTAACCAGGTAGGCGATTTGAAACCTCCTGCTTATCTACAGAAGAGGCAATATGTGGGTGTGTCTGAACCCAGAACAACAAACCACTCCCTCCATTCTGAATGCAGGCCATGACACAATAAAGCACGTGAGGGGAGGAGGGGACATGTTAGTAACAGCTGCACTGATATGAATGGCAGCCTTGGGGTTTAGGTCCTTAGATACAGAAGAAAAGTTCCAAATGTAACCGAATTAAGAGTGTCTTTGAAGTTGTGCTGATTTGAGAGAAAGCATTTGGGAGAGAATTTGTGAGTCCAAACCAAATGAAAACCTATTAAGAAAAACGAGTGATCAGAGGAATTATTTTCTGGCGTACATAGTATTGGTAGGGGTATGTAATTAACATGTTGCCACATGGTCAATTAGAGACCACATAACTAATAATAACATACGACAGATTATAGTTCTCAGGTCATAGCTAAAGAAAGAACCAGCACTTGATATTGATCATAAGGTAAGGCACAATTAACAAAGTCATCCACTGTGATCCAGTTTCTTTTAATTTCCTCATAGATTTTTTTTTGTTTTTTGGGTGTTTTTTTTGGTGAGGAAGAGTGTCACTGAGCTAATATCTGTGCCAATCCTCTATTTTGTATGTGGGATGCCACCACTGCATGGCTTGATGAGCGGTGTGTGGGTCTGCACCCGGGATCCAAACCTGTGAACCCTGAGCCGCCAAAGCTGAGTGCACAAACTTAACTACTGTGCCACTGGGCCAGCCCATCATAGGGTTTTTATTTAAGATCTCCTCCCTTGATTAAAGTTATTAGAAAGCAAAAGTTCTTGTTACAAACTTCTAGTGTTTTAATGCTTGTTATCAAGAAAAAAGACAGAATTCACTCTAGAGGTTTTTTTGGTTTTGTTTTTTGGTGAGGAAGATTGTCACTAAGCTAACATCTGTTGCCAATCTTCCTCTTTTTGCTTGAGGAAAAGTTTCCCTGAGCTAACATCTGTGCCAATCTTCATGTATTTTTGTGTGTGTGGGAAGCTGCCACAACGTGGCTGGAAGAGAGGTATATAGGTCCATGCCCGGGATCTGAACACGTGAACCCCAAGCCGCTGCAGCAGAGTGCACAAACTTAACCACTACCCCACAGGCCAGCCCCCACTCTAGAGCTTGTATTTCTGAGAAATGACTTCAGATTCAGTTCACCAATATTTACTATTCTTCCCTGGGCCTATGGAAACCTTTACCAAGGGGATTACACCAAGAAGGGAATGAAAATGAAAAACAGGCAAAGGAAGAGGGAATGCAAGGGATTGGCATGACTGTATTTCCACTCACTGCAGCCTTCTTCATCACTCCCATCTGGACAATCCACAGTCCCATCACATTTTGCATTTTGTTTCCTAAGGCAAATATCATTGCTACACTTAAAAGTTCCGTTGTTGCATGGAATGCCTGAAAGTGAACAAAAGAAGAATTTTTTCCAGCCAGAAACAGATTTGAGTGAATGACACTGAACTCCATCTGCAAAGGATGATTTGGCCATGGGATCAGTGTCTGCTGCCCCAGGAAAGATGGCAGAGGGAAATGAAGCAGCCCCACAGTGACCCGTCCCTTCATCACAGCTGAGCCACTGGAAGGCAGGCAGGTGGGAGCACCTGCTGAGAACCAACCCAACAGCCTCTCCTTTCTTCCCCTGTGGGAGGGATGCAAAGCAGTTGGCCATTTCAGTGGCTCAGGCCATGGTCTCTTTGCTACACTTTGTCTTGTTCTCCAAGAAAATTTTTGAGCAAAAATCACCACCATACTCAGTCTTTTCACACCATTGAGGGGTAAAATGGACAGACATCAGGCATTGCAGTACATTTGTTCACAACCCTGGCAGTGTGTGCTTCTGCAGGGGCTAGCATAGTACCTGGCAAGTCCCTCTGTATCAGGCGCTCAGTGTCTCTTAGTTTTGAGCAGCATTAAAAGCAAACAGCAGTGGAAATCTTCCAGTATTCACACACACACACACACGTGTACACTCCACCCCAGTTAGAGTGACCACTGTCCCACGTCGTCTGGCCTGAGAGGACTCCAGGGACAGGGGATTTTCAGTGCTAACATTGGGAAAGTCCTGGGGAAACTGGGACAAGTTGATAGCCCTAACCCAACGGAGGGATTTCGATCCTGACTTAGAGGAGTTTCACAGGAAGCGGAGCAGAGGGCAGAGGCCTCTTCCTCACTCTGAGTGCAGTTCTGTTCATCCTGGCCGTCCTCACAGTCCCTGAAGCCGTCGCAGACCAGAGGACCACGCGGCCCAGAGGAGCTGGTGTTGCAGGCAGGTTGAAGAGACACTAGAATGAGAACAGACAGAAGGCTCATGAGCCTGGGACATCAGCTGGAGTCTCTGATGACCCGCAGCGCCCTTCGAAAGGTGCAAATGGTTAAGATGACCAAAATAAAATAAAAAGTGTGTTTTCCTCAAAACTGACCCCTCCGTGAGGAAAAGCAGATGTTTAAGCTTTGGTGTAATTCCTAGCACTTTGACTTTGTTGGATCTGATTTTTGCTTTTGTGTAAATGTGTTAAACTCTGGCAGTTTGTTTATTTAATAGCAATTAAATGCATCATAAGATTTCATTTTAGGGAAAATAAAAACCATAAGCTGTTATCAAAACTGAACTTGTCTACCTTCCTAAACAAAGAGAGAGTGTCCTGAGATTGGTGATTTTGTCCTATTCATCTCTGTACCTCCATCCCTTGACCAAACAGTAGGTGCTCACCAGAGCTTTGCTGAATAGATTAGTGAATGCAAGATCTTAAAGGACAACAGCCTTGTGGTCTACGTGTAAGGAAAACTCCCTTTAAAACGATTTCATCCTGAGAGACCCATTTCCTGAATTAGGAAACACCAGTGTAAACCGATCACGATTTTCTTCTTTGCAGTATTTTCGTGAAGTGCCTGTATACCAGGGAAGGGCACAGCATGTCAGCAAGCGCTCTTAGGAGCTATGATTCCTGAGATGTTTCTGAGTTTATAAAAGTTATCATTTTTTTTATCTTTTTCTGTTTTTTCAGAGGTCTCTCTTATGAGGGGCAGCAGGGAGCCTGAAATAGTTCATCAAGTCTCTGAGAATGCCTCATTGACTTCTAGAGAATAACTTTCAAAATGGCGTGAGAAAAAATGATTACCAAAAAACAGTCCTTGTTATAAAGTAATAATAATGACTTTTGTTTGGAGCATGATAGCAGGGAATAATAATAATGTAAAAAACAAAAGCAACCTCAATCACTATGCAATGGTGAGTATTTACTTTCCTAAGAAACAGAAGACCCTATAGATTGAAAAGTTTAATAAACCATAAGTTAAGAGGGCTTTATTTTGCTTTGTCAATTAAAAAAAGAATGTAGAGTCACAGGTTATTTTTCATGAGTATAGTTTTTTTCACAGTTATGTTATATTCACTGTAATATTTCTCTAAGAATACGAAAGACATTAAATAGTTTCACCATGGCAATTGTATTTTAATTAATCTCTGGGTCTTTAGGAGAAAGAGTTGCCAATGGTGTCATATGGTCCAGTGGACTATCCTCCCCATATTGTTCCCTGAAACTGGAGATAGATTCAGGAATTAAGTGCAGATAGTAATGAAAAACCAAGACAGATTCTCTGTCTAAAATAGGAACATCCAATACCCCAGCCGTTAGTTGTTACCAATGTGATGTCGATGCACACTAGACAGGTTTAAAAAAAATTTCTTTTATTCACAACACCAGCGCTCCACAAATGAGCATGCTCAAAGAGCTTACTTCTCTACAGCTTCTGAGCTTTCTCTAGATGAAAGACCTGTGCTTTAGAATGGGGTTGTTACGTTTCAGATTGTGGTTGATCGATTGATTAGCCACAGATCCTCACTTCCTGTGGTAGTACTATGCACCCCACCCTTGCCATGGCCCCAAGGCGTGCAGAATGAAATTCCCTGCCCCTTGATTATGGCCTCAGCTATCCGACTCACCTGCACTGCTGGAAGACGACACAAGTGATGGTGTGCCAGTTCCACGCCCGGGACTTAGAAGGAACCATGTGCTTTTGCTCACCCCTCCTCTGCCTCTACCATTGCCACGGCTAGCCCACTAGCTCAATGAGGAAAAGAGCCATAAGGAGTAGACTGGACCCCAACCTGCCATGAACCAAGCTCAGGAGGACCCACTGCTTCAAGCAGAGCCATCCAGCTGAACCCAGCCTAGATCTATCAAATCCCAGACAACCCACGCACTATGACCCAGAATAAATGACTAGTGTAAGCCACCGAATTTTGAGCTAGTTTGTTATGCAGCAAAAGACAACAGCTCCAAAGACCCCGGATACACACCAGCTTCAACGATGGCCCTGACAAGCTATTCATTCATAAGATAGTCATAGCAAAACTTGAATACCCACCACAGAAAAGTTCATCACTTTCGTCAAAGCAGTCATTTACTCCATCACACCGCTGGGCCTGAGGGACACACAAACCGGAGGAGCATCTGAAAGATGCGACAGGACAGGCTAGAAACAATAAAAAATAGGAAATCTTGTGTGGGTCCCTAAAAGTCACCAGACCACATCAACAAAGAAATGTGCAGTGATAAGTGGTTGAGAAGTTGGCAATACAATTTCTCCACCAAACCAAGTCTATAGGTGGGCACTGAAAGACAAAAAAGGAGAATTTAGGAGGGCGAAGAAAGCAAGCAAATCCACCAGAAGCTCTGAGTCACTGTTGTGTCCAGGTCGCAGGTGCCGTCACACTCCTACTACCTCCATCCTCGACTCGGCAATCGGGCTGCATCACAGACTTGAAGAAAGGGAAAGCTGCGAGGTCCCTCAGAGTCCAGCACACTAAGTGTGCCAACTCTAGACTCCCCAGGGAATTATAAATGGGCTTCTGATGTCTCTGAATCTTTATGATCAGACGCATTACTCTGAGGAGCCTGTGCCTTTAATTACATTTTCAAGTGATCTCTGTTCCAAAATATATTAGGAACCACTGACCTTAGAAACTTGAGCCTAGAGAATTAGTGACTGGCCTCAAAACTCATGACTCCTGCTTCCTACCTCCCAGTTCACTTCACCCAGGCTACTCATTGAAGATGCAATACTGCCTGGTCTTCAATAATTAATCCTGGGCTTATAACTAAATAAATAGAAATAATAAACCCTTCCTCCCTGATATACTCTGAATGTTTGCATCCCCCGCAAATTCATATGTTGAAATCCTAATGCTCAATGTGATGGTATCCTTTGGGAGGTGATTGAGTAATGAAGGCAGAGCCCTCATGAATAAGATGAATGCCTTCATAAAAGAGACGGAGAGAGCTCCCTCACCCCTTCTGCCGCGTGAGGATACAACGAGAAGTCTGCAATTCACAGAAAGCCCTATGCCAACCGTGCTGGCATTCTGACCTCAGATTTCTAGCCTCCAGAACTGTGAGAAATAAATTCATGCTCTTTATAAGCCACCTAGTGTGCGGTATTATGTAATACTAGCCTGAACGGACTAAGTCTCTCCCTCGGTACGAAAGAAGGGTGGAGAGGGCTGGTCAGGTCAACCGCTATCTTAGCGTCACACAACGGATGGAGAGCTCCTAGAAAATATTCATGGTTTGAAAAAATAAAGTGGCTTCTATTTACTTGTATCCTTGCTGGAAACTGGAGCATTCTGACATTCAGAAGTGTAATATTCCGAATCCAGAAGCAGGTATTTTGGGGACTGCTAAGAAGAAAGGTTCTAAATGAGTTTTCTCTCAACTCTTGTCCTCATGGACTCCTGAGTAGTTAACTCTTACTTTTCCCCTTTTAAAACGGGTCGAGAATTTCCTGAGTCGCTATCTTTTCTCCCCAGCTCTAACGACTTCCCTCAGACAGTGCCTTTTCTACTGACCACTTCCTGGCCTTGCTCCAGCACTTTCCAGTGTGAAGCTCAGCACGCTGAGCGCTGCTATTTGAACCCTCCTTGACCGACCAGCTCTCCCCATGTGTCACAGGCCAAGGTGAGTCACAACTGTCACCCTTCCTTCCACCAAACGCCGGTTTAAATCATATTTACAAAGACTTATGACTAGCAAGAAGGAAACCAAATCAAGAAATGGGCTTGCCCTATATTTCAGGAATAATGTAAGAAAATATTTTTTAATTGTACCAATTATATTTCTTCTATAATTTAAACTATAGTGGTAATAAATACATAATTTTATAGATTATTTATTACGCATTTTGTCTATATTATATATATTTATAATTTGTTGATGTATTATTATAAAAAATACAATAGCAAAGAGCAGAAATAAAGCAGTTTTCATTCCTTAAATTTTCAAACTTTAGAGTTATACAATGTTAGCTTCCATGTAACCATTTATTAAGGTTTTCTAAGGAGCTGATCCCAGGCTTACGTTGACTGATGTTGTAACTGCCATACTCCACGAGAAGCGGCTTATCGGAAAGCCTTGAACTACACTGAAGCTGAACATGGACGAGCGGGCGGGGCACTCGAAAAATCGTCTGATGATCCATGTAGGAGCCACAGTACCTGAGGAGACAAGGTGAGGGAGCACAGCATGAGGGTCTGTCAACTGCATTCCCATCCGCAGTGAATTCCTAATACTTTGGTCATTTGGGCTTCATCAGCGGAGACGCTCACGGCAGAGCTAAGGGGAGTCATCCATTCTATGCTGGTGACCGGGACTAACTTCTGCCTCGATTTTCTCCTCTGCTAAATAAAACAATAGCAATACTACGGACTATCTGGTACCACTGCTGTCCTCACTAACACTTACAATCAGAAGAAATATGGGTTTAATTCTCCTAATCCTCTCTCTTTTTTTGGCGTAACTAGCTGTGTAACATGAATTGCCCACAAACCTTTCTATAGATCAGAGTGGAATCCATGAGCTGGGGTTGAAAATATGCAAACAATCCCGGCAACACTTAAAGCAAAAGACAACAATATTATTTCAATCTAAATTGGAAGCTCATGTGCACTTTAGGGCTTGTCCTTGGCAAAATTTCAAAGTGGTAATGTCTGTCTATAATATTTACCCACCCTGATTTTTCTTACTTCTCATCACCTAAGAGAAAATGTCCCTCTTGTTAGTGATTATTGTTATATGAGCACTGTGGTTGGGGGAACACGAAGTATTATCACACTGGGGGCCCGTGGTAAATTAGGATCTGCACTGTTTGGGCAAGTCTCTTCCCAGGTGAAACCTCCAAGGTCTCAATGGGAAACAGCAGACACAAGGCTTCAGGGGGTACGTCCTCCACTGGAATCTGTGAATAACAATCACTCCAGGCCCTCAAAGCACTTGGGAATCCTCATTTTCCATGGATGAGACACTGGCGCTCAGTGGAAGGAGCACCGAGGTAACCTGTGATTTTCAGGTTCAAAGGAGGAAGGCATTCATGTATATTTCAGGAAGAATCTTTTGCAATTGGCTGAAGTTCAGGACTGATGGGCTGATAGACCAGCTCCTGGGATACGAGGAAGAGATAGCAGCTGCAGGTGGCCACCTGGCCAAGTGGAGGCCAGCGTCTGAGACCCAGCTGAAAGCCAAGTCAAGCTTTGGGGGCCAGGATCTACTCTAGGTGGTCATCTTGGGATCAGAATCCTGTGTTCTGAAAACATGATAACTGTTATCTGTGTCTCATAGTGATTTTGTTCATGCTTTCCATTAACATTTACTGGAGTTTTCCTGAAAAGATGAGCATCATGTGGATGTTAAGGAGGAATCAAGACAAAAGAGATCTTTGAATCCATGCCTGGGCTAGAGTTTAGAGAGGAATGGTATGTGATGGGGCTGGGCAGTAGCTAATGGAATGAAAGTTTTAAAAAACGGAGAGGTTTGAGAAACACAGCAAGAGTTAGTTTACGCGTACAGACATGTGACAGGTAAGACAACTGAAACATAAAAGGGTGAAGTAATTTGTTAAATTTCTGATAGAAGGAAAATAGAAGCAGGATTAGGACACAAGTTCAGTAGCACTTTCTAGCACACCATCAACCTTCCCCTCAGGAACTTTGCTTTGCAAAATATTTGTAAAAAGGCCATCCACTTCTTCAGGGTTCATGTACTGCATTCGAGCTGCCCTGAGCATACACATCCCACAGCCATGTTTGCTGAACTCAAGATTCCCAAGCTTCCTGGTGTCAGCATCACTTTTTCTTCCCTCCCCATTAAGGACCCAATGCCTTTAGCCTAACTTATCAGCAAGGTGTCAGAAATTAGCTCAATTAGAGCCTTTCCTTTTTAGATGAAAAAGCCTGATAATGGTAAGGGCTGGCATTTTAAATCCTAAGGATGCAACTAACATCAAAAGAATCTGATAGGATTTCAGCCAGCTCACAAGACAAAGTGAAGAGCTGGCCCTTCAGGGGAAGTAGGGCACAGAGCATTCCTGGTACTGCCTGGGAGGAGACCCTGTCTGTACTTTGGCAGCAACACATTGTGGGTAGTAGTGTCACCAACTGGTTGCCCCGACGAACTCAAGGGTGGGGAAGGAAGCATTTAATAGTTTTTCCAAATTGTTTTTTCCTTTCATCGTGTTAAGGAGATGCACCAACTACCCTGAACCAGACTAAGCCTCACCATGGGAGCTATGCCTATGACCTTTGGCTTATTTTTAATGCTCAGATCTCTCCAGGAGGAGCTTAGGCCTTATTACCATCCCCTGCAGTGTATGTGGAAGCTTGTTTTCCAACTGAGCCTGCACAAGCAAATACCCACCTCTCCCTTTTGAATATTCATTCCCCATCTGAAATAAATGTCTCTGCTTCCCTTTGTTTGGGGACGCCATGACTCTGGAAATGATTCCTCATAGTCTCCTATTTGCTGCAAATATACGTTACTTTGTGAGATGACTAATTCTGGTGGAGAGTCTGATTTCACTCGCCAGGAGGGAACCCACTTTGGTTTCAGTAACAGTAGGAGTTGTCACTTAGGGAAAAAATATATATATATGTCATTTTCAAAGTACAGCTTTATTTTAGGCATACAACTTTACAAAAGATTTGTAAAGATTTGTTGTCTGGACCTCTAACTAAATATCTAAAGCTTGGGATTTCTAAATATCTAAATATCTAAATTTCTAAATATCTAAAGATTTGGGATTTCTATAGCATTTATCCATCCAACATCATTTCCAACGTTATTAATCTTATCAATCATATTAATAACAGCTAATATTTTTGGTGTGTGGTATGCATCATTTCACTGAAGATTACCAAAAACAGAAAGAAAAAGCCCACCAAATTAAGCAGGAATTATTACCTCATTTTACATACTGAAAGTCAAAATAGTTAAATAATTTGTCTGAGTTAATGAAGCTACTAAATAATAGGGCTCAAATTTGAACCCAAGTCTTCTGTCTCCTACATAATAGACCCTTGATTCAAAAATACTCCCCAAAGGAGTACAAGCCATATCTTAATAATGAATCCAGGAATGCCTTTAAATCAGATAAGATCTATTCCAATGAAGACAGGACCAATGACTATTTAGCAAGTGATCTAAGAGTCTAAAGGAAATGAAAGAAGGTTGTTCAGGAAAATCATTTAGAAAGGGAAGGTTTCATTCATGGAATAACAATGAACAAAGAATTTGCAGGTAAATCCCTTCAGCTAACTTCACAAGGATTCTTATCTCAAAGTAAACTGAGAAGTTCTTCTGCTGCACAGACAGAGCAGCCTATATTCTTTAGTGTAAGACCCTTTATAACTTTAGAAGCAAATAAACAATAACAACAACTAAAGAACAAATTAAGGCTGAGAGTGAGCGCCTATTAGGTCGGTCCAGGAAGCCCAGGCATCTGGATTTCCCTCAGCCTTTCTGATCAGCCTCAACCCATGTCCCAGCCTCAGGATATAGTCAGGCCAACTGGGTCTTTCCCACTGCACAGAATTGGTTAATGGTTTCTAACTTTTGGACCACCAAGACTCCTATTTACTATTTTCCTCCATAGCTCTATGGTTTGAAAGACTTTATCTGCCAAACTTCCTTTGTAAAGTATACATGTGCACATCAATAAGGTGCCCAGCAGCATAGAGCAGGGGTGGAGCAAGGACTTGGGAACCAGAAGGCATGAGTTTGACTCCTGGCTTAATCACTTATGAACTGAGTGACCTTGAGCAAGTTATTTGACTCCTGTATATAATAAAGTGTAAAGTCTTTGGGGACAAGGAATCCAAGACTTTGAACCTCTGGGTAAGGCTTTTCCTCAGATTCCCCCACATGGAGATCACTTACATGTGCTCATTAATTTCCCACCATCCATGGTCACAGCCTTTCACACTCTTCTGTGTTATTGAGTAGTTATGGAACTTCAGTGCTATGCCAAGAGTTGGTAGGGGAGCCTGTGAAAAACAAATGTAAGTCAGAAAAATGCTTCAGTGGAAGGACATGTTTCAAGCAAAAATTTCCTTGCTCACTCAGAACTCATTTCCTTGGCTTGCTGTATTAAGAGCATTTTATTCTTTGTGTCGTTTGGCCTTTGGTGGGGTAGACCAGTTCCCTGAACAAACGGAGATGAGGAGGAGAGCATGATAGAGAGGAAAGTGGGCCATCTAGTGCTCAGGGAGCAGCTGTTAGGCCCCCATTTGAGCTGGATGACACAGGACACATTAGATCAGATTTCAATTTCCTTCTATTAAGTGAGCTTAACTTTGAAAACTCCCACTTGCTAATGAGTGTGCACACTTTCCTCCTTCAATGACAACAATGGAGTTTATTTAAAGCACTATTCAAATTCTTTAGATAAAGGAGAAATGAATCAGCATCCTCTTCATACTAAACCTGGGTATTCCTGAAGGCAGTTACTGAGTCACCTCCAGGTCTTCTTAGAAGAGATCGAACAAGAGAAGGAGCTGCCTGTGTGATACATGCACACGTAAGCATGCACACACACACACACACACAAAGAGTACACCACTGACCTTTCTATGGCATCTGATGACACGCACATACGCTGTGTCTGATATGCCACTGATGTTTTACTTAAGAGAGAGTTCTTACATTTCCAGGGAATAGAATTTTAGTTTGTCCATTTTCAAGTTTTCTAATTCTCTCTTAATTAGATGAGATTATTTAGTGCTTATACTCCTTTTAATTTTTTAATTTATTAAGGACTTTGTTGTAATCAAATTTATGAATGCTTCAAGGTCATTTGAAAAAAAGAGAAATTTATGTTTGTATATCTATTACCATACTCATTATTTGTATGGTCTAATGTCCATCCTAGACTTATCTCTTGTCCCTTACTATGGCCATCATAAACCAAGCAAAAAGAATTATAATCTCTTAGTTAAACATTGTCCATGTCTCTTTGTATTTCCTACAGGTTTTGATTTATGAGTATTAATGTCATGTCATTTGATGCATTGATAATCGTCATAATTAGATCTTCATGAGGCTAACCCTTTTGAGCATCATAGCTCGCCTTTCTTTTCTCACTGAATGCTCTGAGCCCAGCATTGCTGGGCACTAAGCCTTAGCTCCCTGCTCTTTGTTTGTTTCTTTTTGCCTGGTAGGACATTGCCCATCCTTTTGTTTTCAGTGTTATTGAGTCACTTTTTTATTCACTTTGTCTTTTGAAGACAACGTACAGTTAAGTTTTAGGTAGTATTTTGTGATTCTATCCTACTCTCTTTTCCTTTTTTTAAATTGAAATATGATTGACATATAACATTATATTAGTTTCAGGTGTACAAAATCATGATTCGATATTTAGATATATTGCAAAATGATCACCACAATAAGTCTAGTTAACATCCACCACCATACAGAGTTACAAATTTTTTTCTTGTGATGAGAACTGCAAGATCTATTTTCTAAACAACTTTCGAGTACACAATATAGTATTAGTAACTATAGTCACTTTGCTGTACATTACATGCCCAGGACTTATATATTTTATACCTAGAAGTTCGTACCTTTTGACCCCTTTCACCCATTTTGCCCACCCCCCTACCCCTTGCCTCTGGCAATCACCAATCTGTTCTCTGTATCTACGAGTTTGCTTTGGGGTATGGAGGCGTTTCAACTCCACATATGAGTGAGATCATACAGTATTTGTTTTTCTCTGTCGTACATATTTCATTTAGCATAACGCCCTCAGGGTCCACCCATGTGGTTGCAAATGGTAAGATTTCCTTCTTTTTTATGGCTGAACAATATTCCATTATATATATATATGCCACATCTTCTTTATCCATTCATGCATTGCTAGACACTTAAGTTGCCTCCATGTCTTAGCTATTTTAAATAATGTTGCAATGAACATGGAGGCGTAGATATCTTTTCAAGTTATTATTTTCATTTCCTTTGGATAAATACTCAGAAGTGAAATTGCTGGATCACATGGTAGTTATATTTTTAATGTCTTTTTCTTTTAATAGATGAATTTTACCCAATGATTTTTATTGTTTTGACAGACATTTGGTTTTTTAGTTATGTCACCATATTTTATAATTTCTTTATTGTGAGTGTGTGCTTCTTTCTTACATGTATTTAAATATAGTAGTCCTACCCCCTCAACCTACCTTTGAGAGGGAATGAATGGGGCACTTTATGTCTCTCATTTAAACATCACAACAACATGGATAGGCAGGTAATATGATTCCCATTTTACGGAAGAAGAAACCAAGACTAACCAAAGATAAGTAGCTTCTTCAAGGTTAGGAAATGCAAACCAGAGATTCAAACCAGTCTTGCCTTTCTCTGGAAGATATCCTTTCCTCAGAGTATCGTGCTGCCTGGAAGCCACTGGGGGGGACTCAAGAGGAACAGGATTGTCTTATGTTCACCAAAAGCCAAGGGCTCATGGGAACACACATCAATTTTTTCCCCAGTCTTGCCATCTGATTATTTCTTCACATTAAAGAAAAAAATAGGGGCCGACCCGGTGGCGCAGCGGTTAAGTTCGCATGTTCTGCTTCTCAGCGGCCCTGGGTTCACCGGTTCGGATCCCGGGTGCGGACATGGCACTGCTTGGCATGCCATGTTGTGGTAGGCATCCCACATATAAAATAGGGGAAGATGAGCACAGATGTTAGCTCAGGGCCAGGCTTCCTCAGCAAAAAGAGGAGGACTGGCAGTAGTTAGCTCAGGGCTAATCTTCCTCAAAAAAAAAAAAAAAGAAAAAGAAAAAAATAGGTGCAAACTGAGAGATGGTAAATATCTTAACCAATGTAAACTTTATATTCCAATGCAATCCTCCACCAAGAAGCTTCATCACACCAAAACAAAGTGGGTTTAAATGCACCACCACCCTCCAATCCACAAAGCCTCTCCACAGGGAAAGGAAATAAGTCCCCTTGCATACTGATTCCCCTGACAGAATTGCCCACAATTCCACATTTGGACTCACATTGGACAAAAGGCACTGCTGATATTAACCTGCCCGACAAATGGAGTGATGAGGTGCAGTTTCACAAAGTATTGCAAGCTTTTTCGACAAATGAACAAAAAAATAAAACTGCTAAGTACACTATTTCCTTCTATGCCCTGTATTTTCTGTTCCCATTGACCAACCCTTGCCTTTCTTTAACCGAGTAAGAGGAAGAGTTCTCCTAATCTGGACTTGCTATGTTTAAACATTTCTCTAGCCAGTGGTGGCCACCAGATGCAGGACATGCTGTATCTCTCACTCATCCCTAACTCGCCAGCGGTTGTGTATACACAACTCAAGAACCCACCTTAGATGATCACTGGAAACTTCTGTGGCAATGATGCTTGCCACAGACGCAGGAAAGAGGGATTCAGCAGGCCCCACAGTAATGGGGCCATGTATGATGCTTATGTCTTATGTTTTACGTCTTGTGGACCTAACTTGGATGATGCTGTACTGACGACATCTGTGAAAAAACAATTCAAACTACTCTCCATTTTTTTTCTTCTAAGATTCCATAATAAAATTGATTAGTAGGAAAACAAAAACAAGGAAGGAAGAGGGAGGTAAATCTTAGCTAAGTGACTGTTATGAAACATACGGAAGCTGAACATCCTTAGGAACCCAGGAAAGGAGCGGGGTGGTGCTGAATTTATTTATGGAGGGGGCGTGATTGCATTTAATCCTACCTGGATCACTTGCTATTTGAATGGCCTCTGGCAAATGATTTGCCCCCATCTCTATTTCCTTATTTATAAAGTGTGACCAGAGTATCTCTCCTCTGTCAAAGGTATGTTTTAAAGATTAAATAAAAATACATATGTTGAAAACACTCAAGTAGTAAACAGGGGCCGGCCTGGTGGCATAGCAGTTTTAAGTTCACACACTCTGGTTCAGCGGCCCGGGGTTTGCAGATTTGGATCCTGGGCACAGACCTATACACAGCTCATCAAGCCATGCTGTGGTGGCATCCCACATACAAAATGGAGGAAGATTGGCATGGATATTAGCTCGGGGACAATCGTCTTCACAAAAAATAAAATAAAATAAGTAAAAATAAAGTACTAAACAAATGTGGACAACATATCATAAACCTCCTCCTACCCCTGCAGTCTGTAAGCCCTGTGAGAGCAGGGACTTTGTTTGCTGTAGCTGCTATGTGTGCCACATGGTGCCCGACAGTAGCAGACATCCAGTAACCATTTGTTGAATGGATAAGAGAGCTTGGGAGAAGAATCAGATGGACTTTAAGTTGGAACAAGAGTTAATCCTTCTCAGATAAATAAGACCTTAAAAACTAAGCTGAAAGTGAGTTTGCACAGGAGATTGAATGCTCTTCAATTTGGAAATCAGGCCAGGCACTAAGAAGGACTGAGGATGATAGAAATTAACTCTTGTGTCAAAAAGCTTTCATTGGACCAGCCCTGGTGGCCTAGCTGTTAAGTTCAGTGTGCTCTGCTTCAGTGGCCCAAGTTTGCTTCCTGAGCACGGACCTACACCACTCATCTATCAATGACCATGCTGTGACAGTGGCTCACATACAAAATAGAGGAAGATTAGCAACAGATATTAGCTCAGGGTGAGTCTTCCTCAGCAAAAAAAAAAAAAAAAAGCTTTTATCATGACTTGGGTCAACATTTTTGTTACTTAAATCATCCAGTTTTTAGTCATTTTTAATAAATTCAAAGCTAGTTTACAGGTGAAAAATTAGTTTTTACATGATTTCTATTCACAGAAGCATGCTCTCACACAGCTATAGGTGACTAATCAACGCCTTCCTGTCTCCCTCGGCCCACCCCCCACTCCCCCAGTGGCATGCTTTTTTCCTTATAAAGATTTCTTTTTATTCAGCATTTCTAACCCTCAACCCCTAGTGAAACAGAGAGTGAGTTGAAAATCTTATTTACACCCTGACTAAAACATAATCACAGCAACATTCGGGGATGTTCATTTTAAGTCTTACAGGTTATCGTGGAATCAACATTTATTTTGTCTCAAAGGAATTTCGAACACTTGACAGAGCTTTTGGGAATGGGGCCTTTCTTGTTCTGGAAGCAAAAAGGATACAGCTCTGCATTTCGGAGAGATTAAAGAGACCGAGATTTGATGTCTTTCCCTCCTCTCTCTCCAGCCCCTCTCATCTTCTCTTCCTGTCTCCCTCTCTCCCACCTGAGATTCTGCTGCCCTGAGGCCTTAAGAACCTGGCAGTGAGCAAGAGTCTAGCACCTTTATGTTTTAATTATTTTGGAAATGTTTGTGATCGTGATAAAAAATAATTTAAGAATGCATGCCATCAGGACATTGACACCAAGTGCAGATTTGGGCATAATAAAATTATTAAAAATATTTGTGAATGTGCACAAGTCATATATGCAGCCAGCAAGCTCCTGCCTCAGGGCCTTTGCCTCAGCTGTTCTGTTTACCTGCCGGACTCTCATCCTAGGTATGCACAGGTTAGTTCCCTCATCTTCTGCAGGTTTCTGTGCAAATGTCCCCTTGCCCATGAGGCTTTCCCTGACTATCCTATTAAATAACAAATCCTCGACATCCTACCCTTCACACTTCCCACCCACCCAGCTACAGTGCCACCTTCCCTGCTCCATCCTTCTCCAGAGCATTGTACCACCAAGTAACATATTGCCTATATTTTACTTGTTTATTCGTTTGTCAGCTGTCTCCCTTTATTGTCTGGTAAGCCCCAGGAGAGCAGAACTTGCATGAACATGTGTCATGGATCCCAGGGTCTAGAATACTGCCTGACACATAGCAGGCATTCAGTTACATCATGTCGAATGAATACAAACTATATGCTGCTGCAGCTGACCTCTAACTGCTATGCCACACAGTACGCTCATATGTATGTGCTGAAAGAGCAAGGTGACAGCTCGCCCTATCCACGTGACACTGTAGTTGGAGAAAGAGAAACTGTTTACAGACTAGGATTTTAAAAAGAAAAGCAGAAACTCCCTGTCCAGCACCAGAGGGAGATGTACATATTTTATATAAATTTACACTCTGGTTTGCTTATATACCTGAAATATACATTGCCTAACCCGATTTATTATTTCTTTGTTATTCCTATTATAATGCTGATGATGAAGCAATTAAAAATTGATAAATGAACTCTGCCATAATAAAAGAAAAATTGTCTGATCATGTAACAAAGTCTTTGTGTTTTTTAATACAAACAAACAAAATAATAAATTGAAAAAATAAGCCTCAGTCTGCAAAGAGAAGTTAATTGGTGGGCAGAGGGTTGAGGTTTCAAGGAACTTTCATGTTCTAGACAGTATATTTCAACAAGGTTTAAATATTAAAAAATTAACTAATATTCTTTTTGTAACTGAAAAAAAAGGTAATTAAATTCAGAAATAAATTACTACTAAAAATAGGATAACACTTTTCTACCATAGTGGTAAAACTTGGCTACCTGAAATTTCCAGGTACACGTGCATTTCGGAGGATAGTAGCTTGGGTAATATGGACTTGAAATTTTCCCTTCAAAGCCAGCGATTTCTTTGACCAAAACTGTGTTTTCACACTCTGAAAAAAATATCCAGTCACACACAATGATTTGCCATTGCGAGATCACGGGAGAGACGCTGCATACATTTCTTTAACACAAATGCACACTTCCTTGATCAACAAGCTTATATTTTTTGAAATTTAAACTAATATTTTTAAAAAGAAATAGTACCCGACAGATGTATAGCTAAACTACTTGTTCAAATTCTATATTTGCTTTCAAATCATATATTTTGACTACAGATCTATAGGATGCTATTACTTTCTTTATAAACATAGTTTAAATATATTTTTTAAAGCTTCTGAGCTTATTTGCTCAAATGGGTGAAAATTTGTTGTTGAAGAACTATACCCAGTTGACATAACAAGTTGTTCTGTTTAAATAAGACAATCTAAATGTTTCTTCTTACTGATATGCTCATCCTTCTGCTGGAATGTACATTCTTTAAGAGTATTGATTTTTGTTTCTTTTGTTTATTGCTATTTCCCTGACACCTAGAATTATTCCTGGCATATAGTAGATGTTCAATAAATATTTGTTGACAAATTCCACTACAATATTTCTGAAATAATCATATTTTTAACCTTTGGGGTTAGAGATAATTTTCGACCCAACAACACTTCAATTAGCTAGTTCACTTTTGTTCAATAAGTCAATTTTACATTTGGTTTTGTAATAATTTTAAGGAGAAAACCTACCAAAATAAGCCACTGCCCTAAAATGTAGGTGACCCAAAGCTATCACACCATCTACTTCAGCCAAATCCCTTTCCTCTTCACCCCCATCTGCCATTCTGATCCCTTTGGCTTTATTGATGCTCATAAAGAAGTTACCAACACATGATCTGTAAGATTGGACCAGTTACAAGACAACAAATATTTTTAAAAGACTAGAGTTTCAGTGACGGCTCTTTTTATTCTGTTTTGTTTTGTTTTACCTCATCAATCCACGTCAAAAAGAAGAATGAAAGGGAGGTCAGTTTTTTCTCATTGTCTGACCTAGAAAAACCCGTGAAATCCCCTGGGTTTTACTTCACAGGTACTTTCCACGACGGCGTTCACATGCATCACTATTAATTAGAATTCACGAAAGACAGTCTAGTGTGCTAGTTACTAAGCTGTTATCTCTCAGCTCCAGACCCACCCTTCTCAAACCACTGATCTCTTTGCCACTTGGCTTCCTGATAGGCTCTGCCAATAGGGGGCGCTAAAGGGAGACCGGAAGGCTGGAGGAGGAAGAACGGGACTTCCTGTCTGTTTCCTCTTCCTGGGAGGGTCACCCCAGCAACACTTCTTCAACCCCAAAGCTGCACTTCCTTCTGTAGCAGAGTTGAATTCTGTTAGCAGTTTCCCTAACTTCTACGTTAGTGCATCTCCCTCAAAGATACCAGCCTCAGCTGTTTGTCACCCCCTCCTCAAAAGTCTGGATCCCAAGTCCATGGATACCTGCCTGCCTCTGGACTCAGAGACACCAACACCAGCTGAGCAGCAGCTCCACTTCAGAGATATGAGTTTCATTCCACAAACCCCTCCTCCAAGCTCTAGATTGTGTTCTGACCTCTTTCCTTTGTTGGTCCAGACCTAGGGATGGTAGTTGCTTCCTACATGTGTTACATCCATGATAGCTTACAGTTTTCTTTTTGCCTTTTGAGTTACCTTGTTAACACCTTTATAGTGAGTTAACAGTTCTTTACACTAAACTCTGTCTGTTAAAATAATATGATCTCTCTCATCTGACTGGACTCTGAGTCAGAATCTCTGACTAATTCAACTAGCATTACAGCACAGCCTCAGGAGAGATCAGACTGGAGCATCATAACAAATATTTCTAAGGGTGGCTTTTAGGGAAAACTTACTTTGTTCTGGAATGACCTCCAAATATGCCCGGATTCCTGACAGGCTCCGTATCTGAGGAGACTTCAACGTCACCAACATGAGATTATTTGTAGAAACAAATGACATTAATGTTCTTGTGGGTTCACAAATTCTGAAACCAGATAACAAAGCAACAGTAGATGAATAATAGTTTATTAAGAGGCGGGCCTCCATCCATCACTAATTCCACACATTCCTGAGCCATCCACACAGTTCTTGTGACCAGACTGCCAGTCAGGTCTTCGTCAATTAGTGGCCACAGGGCATGACAGATGGAGGAGAGTTGACTTAGGTACAGAAATTTTTGTCCAGTAAATACTGAAGAATTCTCCTCGATGGCCATCACTGGACCCTCCTTGAGGGCAAACAAGGCATAAAGGCAGGGTATTTAATGGCTAAGGTCATGGGCTCTACACTGAGAACTCTGGGTTCAAAACTCAGCTCCATCACTTAACTGGCTGAAAGACTCTGGGCAATCAACTAAATCGTCATAATGCCATTGTTCCTGCTATGAAATGGCAGTAATAATAATAGGATACTCTTCATATAGCATTGTGATGAGGATTAAATGAGATGATAACTAGATATGCCTGGAAGATTGAAAAGAAACCAATAATAATGATTGAGGAATGGGAGCCAGCCACAAACTTACTTTTCACTGCATATCTTTATATACTGTTTGAATTTTTAACATGCATCTTCATCACCAAAATATAAATAATGCATACCTACATAAAGTACTGTTACATACATCCATAAACACTGTTAAAAATAATAAGATAATTCATGCCTTTTAGCACAGTAAGAAATAGTAAATTCTTAATAAAGCCTGTCATTATTAGGTTATCCAAATATTAAGCTTTCATAAAAAGATGTCTACTTGCAAGTAAAAAATATTAGGGTATGTATATGTACATATGTGTGTAATTACATATATATGAATGAAAGGATTTATGCAAAAATATAACAGACATTTGTTCTGCATGGTAGGATTGTAAAATAATTGATGTTGTTTTCTATGACTGACCTCATTTTCCACAATGAACACTGTGCTATTTTCATAATAAGGAAAAAATTTTTAATTGTTTTACTAATGCTATGCAATCATCATCAAACATTTATTCTCACACTCTATTGAAATAGTAGACTCCATTGGGATTGCAATAAAAGTAAAATTAAACAAAAAATCGGTTAGATTTCAGAAATATTGTCTGAAGTTCCTGCTATACTGATTTTGACAAGTGAAAAGCAAACATCGTGTCTCACAGGCGTGGCTCAGCTAACATACAGGGTGCTCAATAGCGTATGGGTCAGTCTTTGACCTCATGAGTAGACGCAAAAATGGTTTAAAAAAATCCAAGGCGAACCCAGATACTGCAAAACAGAGATGTTGTAAAAAATCTTTTCACTAGCCAACCAGAGTGTCTGCATAATACCTATACAAGATGGTGCTCCGGATTGGCAAGAGGGCATCGTAAATGGTCAGGGAGTCTGTGACACAGTTGTCGGCTTCTATCTCGATGGACTCGATGGAGAAACGAATCAGATAGCCCACTATGGCCACCAGTTTGAAGTGGCACATCAGCCGCCCTGAGGTTGCAGAAATCTCCAGAGGGTAGCGGAAAGACGCATGATCTGCATAGAAATACTGAGAGCAGCCTTTGTCTGTGGAGACAGCAGTGTTGTTTTTGTTTTAGGAATGCCTTTTCTAGAAATTCGTATAGAAAAGTAAAGAGCAAAAGAGGTCATGTGGAGGACAACTGTTGTCTTTGCCAGCCTCGAGTCCACTCCCCTCTCTTCTGGTAACAGCGTCTAGATTTTACCTTGAGAAACTACCCCTACCCTGTCTATATGGTTTGCTTGGGGCCAAATTCGCCCTTAGGTCCAGAGGTGGGCACATGACCCAGAGCGCCAATCAGAGTCAAAGAAGCTAGTTCAGGTGCGGGCGTGTCAGCCAATCTGAGACGTTGAGACTCAGACCCAGAACTTTGCAGGAACTATCAGGAAATATGTGTGGGGTTTTTTCCACCATGGTTGCTAAACTGAAAAATTATACGCTTGGATCTGTTGGTGGCCTTTTATGCCATTCCACTGGAAGAGAACAATCGATGAAACCTCAACAGAGGAAAACAGAGATGCAGAGTCCTGATATTTTATTTTAGAACCCGGACCCGACGATGCTTGAAGCCAGAACCCTCCATGGATGTCCCAGTTACATGAGCCAATCAAGTTTCTTTTGTGCTTATGCCAGTTTGACTGTATTTCTGTCACTTGCAACTGAAGGAGCACTAACAAATACCATCATTTGAAAGGGAAAACTAGCCAAATGGACACTGATTTGGAGGTGAGAGGAGAGGGGGAAAAAACCACATGACATAATTTACCAGCTCCTATGGTTGAGGAGTAGTCTGACCGAAGCCCAGCTGCATTGAGAAAACACACAGAAAAGACACTGTCAGTCCCAGCATTTCATTTGAGAATTTTGTTTAGTAAAAATTATTTTCAGTCCTTTAAAAGCCATCCGACACTTCTGGAATTTGCTGTAAAATAATCCAGTGAGTGTGGGGGAGGTTGTTTCCGTATTTGGAGATCAAATAGGATGGCCATGAGTGGATCGTTGTTGAAGCTGAGTAAAGAGTATATGAGAGTTCATTATACTATTCTCTTTACTTTTGGAGGCTTGAAATCATCCATAGTGACGTTTTAAACATTTTTCAAAGGTTAAAATATAACCAAACAAACATAATAATAATTAGTTCTGAAGTAGTACATGTGGTGCAGAATTTTCCACTAGAGATTTTTCATTCACTCGTTTAACAAATACTTATCAGCCACCTACTACACAGCTGCCCTACATACAAGTTAAATCAAAAGAGAAAGCTGCAGGAACTTTGGGTTCCAGGGTACTTAAACCATTTCACTGTCAAGACAAACGATGGAATTTGCGTTTTGACAGGACTATGGGGCAAGCCGTTTTGGAGCGTTGGGCAGAGGAGTGCGGTTCTGTCTGGAGGAGGGAAGAGACAAAAGGAACCTCAGCAAAGCTCTTCCCTCTCCAGGACTTGGAGCCTTAGTTTGAAGATACATGAAGCTAAATTAAATATAGAGAGGAGTATACTTTAATAAATTCAATTTCATGTATATTTTGATCCCAGTTCTACTGCCCAATCACTGTATATGACATTTAGCCATTTCCTTTACCAATGTAGTTCTAACGTCTTCAGTTAATCTTGTTCCAGTTGGGATTAGGGAAGAGAATACTTCATTACGACATTGACTATGATAATAGCAGTATCAGGAGTGTTGCAGAAGGAATGTTTAAAAGAGAATTACCCAACAATCACCATTTAGTACTACAGAGTCCATGTCCACAGCCAGACCCTGCAAGCTCCCCACAGAGGTCCGGTTTATGATGCTCGTCTGGATGGAGTCCTTCAAGATGGTGGCCACACAGTCCTCACAGAAGATATGGCCCTTGGCATGTGGCATGACAAACACAATCCAAAAGTGGATAAGGAGGCCACCTTTGTTGTTACTGCTGTAGTGAAAAAAGAAAGATGTTCAAGGATACCTCTCAAGAAGTAGACTCTCATAGGGAGCCAGTGACCTAAACGATAGATTCAAGGTAAGGTCAGTGAGTACATCCTTTGTAATGCACATCCCTCAACAGAACATAACTTCCTTCTTTAGGAATTCATTGACTCCTATTATGGGGATTGGACAGGGAAAGCATCATAGTACGTGTATTCTTGTGTTGGATTCAAATCTAGAACCGTTAATGTACAGCTGCATCTCCATGGAGAATACGCTATTTCTATGGATGTTAATTAGCATTCACAGCTATCACAAATAACAGCTATAATTTTTAGTAACCTACCACATCCAAACACAGTGCTAAATCTGTTTTATCACATTTAATTTTATGAGAAAGGTCCTATTGTTATTCCATTTTATAGATGAGGAAATTAAGGCCAAATACAACTCAAACTCACACAGGTAGTAAGTAGCAAATCCAGGAATCAAACCCAATTTGGTTTTCAGTCTGACCCTGGAGCAGGAGCTCCTCGCTGCACAAGTATTGTCATGTTTTATGAGAAACATAAGATAGCGTTCTCTAGTAAATAACTTGGGAAATGGAAGGTGAAGGAAAGTAAACAAATTACTTTACTCCAAGACTTCTCAGTGCCTTTAATATGCCAGAGTGGACTGTGAATCTCTGTAGATATATTGGGCATGGGAAAAGGTGGGATACAATACACGGCACACAGTTTTTCCTAAAAATTATTTGACCATGGGATGCCTTTTTCTCAGAAGAACTCTCATGACCAGCTTTTTATTGAACATATTTTGAGAAATACAGGTCTGCGTTTTATTTTTGCCCCCACCCAACATAGCAGGCAGTGTATGGCCATTTTGCCCAGGGGCATTAATCCAGGGACCCGGGATCCCAGATGGGGAGACGGCAGGCTTTGGTAGACGAAGAGAAAAACTCAGCATGAGAGCAGGGGAAGGAGTCGGGGCACCACTGTGCCAAAGGTGTTAACCCAAAACTGCCTCCAAGAAGTCACGGGAGAATGGTGATATCTCAGTCTTCCCACTGCCTTGAGGGGAATTTACAGCAGTGAGCGAGTGTGGAAATCCCAAAGCGAGGGACGTGCGTTACCTGACATCTGCGACGACAGACTGCTTGTAAAATTTGGAGAAGGCGGATGTTGTATACACCAGGTTTACCTGAAAAAGAAGACCCGAAGCCTCTGAAGGCTTTCGAGTATGCCTTCCTCTTACAGTACCCAGCACGCTGTGGTCCAGGCTCCGACAGCCAGCGAGGAGAGACACAAGTCTCAGACTAAAGGCCTCTGACTCCAAACCCAAACATTAGTCCTTGAAATCAAATTCCTGCTTCCTCTAGCCGTCTTCAGTTACTTTCATTCTGCTCTCTGTGAAGAATCATCAGTTACCTTCATTCATTTATTGCTGTCTTTATACATCCTAATCAAGCTTAACTTCCGTATTCCGCCTACACCAAAAGTTAATTTTCTCCACAATTAATAAATCAAACTCGTTTAAGAACATTTTCAAAATATTTGACCCGACGTCTTTTCTATCAATGCACGGCATGGAAAATTTATTCTTAAGGACACATTCCTGTATTCGCCACTAGGGGGCGGGTGGTGCCCACAGCCGGGTTGACCCTCCCCCTTCAGAACTCTCCAGTTTCCGGGGAAGCACCCAGCCTCTTTAAAACTCCATAATTGGATCTCAGAAGAAAGCTCTTTCAATCAATTTACCTTCTTTGCCCTTACTTAGCATTTCTAAAACCAAATTGACTCTCTTCTGCTAAATCTTCTTCTCCTCCTGTATTTCTTCGTAAGAGCAAAACCATCTACCTAATTGCCCAGGAGGAAAAAAACCCCTTAGAAATAATATAGGATAGTGAAAAATATATGAGCTATGGTGTTTAAATTCCCTATGCAACACAGAACACGTTACCTAGACTTGCTGAGCCTCCACTGTATTTTTCTTTTTCTTTTTTTATCTGTAAGCGGTGATCAAAAAGGCTGCCTCTTTAAGTGGCATATTAAATAGCGATAATAAAATGTGCTGAGCGCCATGCTAACTATAGGAACAAGGGTCTACACAAAGCCAGTGTGGGCTCTGCGGGGGGGGGGGGGGGGGGGGGGGCGGGGGCTGTCAGCGAGGGTTTCACAGAGAAGGACACCTTTTGGATGGGTCATGAGTGATGAGTGGAATTTCACTCAGAAGAGGCTGGACAGAGGCTTTAGATCCAGAGAGAATAGCACTAGAAAGGGCCGCAAGACGTGTAGATGCAACGATTATTCATCATACAAAGAATAGTTGGCTTAGATCACAAGCTTTCTGTCGTGGAGAAAGTGGCATGAAATAGACTGGGAAGACCGGGGGCAGATTTGGAAAAGCACCTGCTTGCCATTCTTAAGAATTTGTGCTTTATCCTTAAACCAAAGCAGAAATATTATTTTTAAAGGATCCCTTCAGCAGTAGAGAGAAATGGCTTGTGGGGGGGAATGAGCAGTATTGCCTGGGATTAGGAAAAGGGGGAAGGAGGTGGAAAAAAAAAATGCCTACCTCTTTGGGCTGATTTTAGGACTAATTGATATATATTAGAATTAAAGCAATGTACCCAGTATACTGGGTACTAGAAGGTACTGAAGGCCTTCGATAAATAAAAGCCACTGTGCCCACTGTGGCCTTTGCTTCCTCTCTCTCACAACCTTTCCTCATTCAACACTACAGCATGCCTATCACTGCTGTAGAGTCACCACTGGGTGGGCCATCCTCTCCATTACTGTGCGGATAACTGGCAGAAACTTTCAAGTTGGTAATATGTACCAAGAGCCACGCATAGATGTTTTGCTATTTGACCAGTGATACTTTTAGGAAATCTCCTAAGGCAGTAATCAGAGATGCACACGGTTCATGTGGCAGTTTTGTTGTAGCACTATCTATAGGAACAAAAATTGGAAGCAACTTAAATAGCCAATAAAAAGGGATTTGCTAACTTTGTAGCTATTAAAACATATGCTTTTAAAAGACTTTTGCTTAGAAATGTGCAACCTAAGGTTAAGAGGAAAAAATCAGATTATAAAACTGAGTGTCTGCTAATACTCCAATATCACGTCATCCCTTGTGTTTATGTGGTCCAAATTAAGAAGGGCTCAATCTCTGGAGAGGATGTTAAAGATTTTAATGTTCTTTTTTACACTCTTCTGAATTTTATAAAATTTTTACGATAAATATGTATTAGTTCTATAATAACAAAGTCTTTTTTAATTTTTTTTTTTTCCGAGGAAGATTAGCCCTGAGCTAACTAACTACTGCCAGTCCTCCTCTTTTTTTGCTGAGGAAGCCTGGCCGTGAGCTAACATCTGTGCCCATCTTCCTCTACTTTCTATGTGGGACGCCTACCACAGCATGGTGTGCCAAGCGGTGCCATGTCGGCAACCGGGATCCGAACCAGCGGATCCCGGGCCGCTGAGAAGCGGAACATGCGCACTTAACCACCGCGCCACGGGGCAGGCCCCAGCAAAGCATTTTTTTTAAAGTGAAGAGATGCCAGTGCATCAAGGTTGAAATAAATGTGTACAGATCACAGAATTAATCAGAATGCATGTAACTTCAGTACTGGGAGGCAATTTAAAGCCCACCTGATCCAATTCCTTTATTTTGTAGATGAGAAAAACTGAATCTCAGAGCACTACTTCTTTTAGTTTCAGCAGAAAAAAAATAAATAAGCAATTCTATCAAAGGAGTAAGTCTATCTGACAGCCAAGATGAGCTAAATCCCATACCCTCTCTGCTTCCTTCATCCACCCTGCTCACCTGTGACACTTGTCACCCCTCCACCCCATCCCCTCACCCCTGACACCTCCCTTCCCCAGCCTCTCAAGTGCCCCCGTCACCTCACCACTTGCTGCACAGTCTGTGCCACTGACAGAAATTCCCTGGACTCCTTCTGTCGGTGTTCAGGGAGAAACTCAATGTTGGTGATGCGGAACATGCCCACAAAGTAAAAGGCGTCTTTGCTTTCCGTCTTACCTGTGAGACAGGAGAGAAGGCGGTCAGGAGATTGCCTCTGTCTGGCGCTGGGGCACAGTCTGACCTACATCAGTATCAGATCCTAAAACGATTTTATTTTAAGCAGCTGCGTATTTTACCAGTTACGGCTGGTGGAGCTCTACATGTGGTTAGTAATATCTCTTCCATCAGCGGGAAATCACCATATCCCTTTGAATAGTCTATTCTTTCTATCAGCTTCTGGCAAATACTTAAGGGCAAGATTAAAAGGTAAAAGATAAACCTCTCTGACTTTATACATGTCCTAGAGATGCTAAGAGGTCAAAAACAGCACTCACAATGTTCATGGATGCTAAGTCTGTGGAAGGAGAGGAAGTAAGAAACGTGCACCACTGAGCTCAGAGGTGACCTGACATAGTGGGAGAAGAGAGAAGGGCCCCCAACTGAGCTTCACTGACCCCTTGGGCGCTCATGCCCTGTCTGACTTGTGAGGCTGATGCCCGTGGTGCTGGGCCAGTCCTCAGCTCTGTGCAGTGCCGGGAGACTTCATCCTTCCTATGCGCCACGAAGTGTGGTCTTTGGCCTGGTGTCAGGTCACTCTTGCTCAAATACCATGGGATCAGTACTGGGCATCGGGCCTACCAGAAACTGCTGACAAAATAGGCAAAGATATTGCCTGTCTGAGTTGCCTTCGGGCACCTGAGAATAGTGTGGGGGCCATGAGGGGCTCTCCTTTCAGCCTTTCCTTTTTGTTACAAGGTATTACTGCTATGTGACACCACCCCTCTGGCTCCCACGGCCCACCGCATCATAACTTCTGTCTGCATGTCTGCCCTTCTAGACGAACAGTAACTTCTTTTTGTCCCTCAGCCCCTAACATAGCATAGTGAATGCCTGCCTTAGCTTTGAAGCTCAATAGACGTTTGCGGGAAGGAAAGCAGAGAAGAAGCAGGAGAGAGGGAGACAGGGAGAGAGGGAGAGAATACTCTCTCTGGGCACAATGCCCAGTACATGGAAATGCTGAATAAGTGGTGGCTGATTTAAAAAGAAGGTACACCCTATGTGAGTGATAGGAAGCCGCCTCCCTCTTATGACCCATCCAGGGTCACGTGAACCCCAAGCGGTGTGGTTCCGCTGTGGCAGGTTGGGGAGGGGCACAGGGTGAGGGCAGGAGACCTGAGCTCCTGTCCCAGATTTACTCTTTCAAGTTATGTGACCTTAGACAGATCGCCTTGCCTCATTAGGTCTCTCCTGTAAAACAAGAGTTGCTTTTGTTTCTGATTTTACCAGGAACGTGTTTCTTAGATTTTTTTTTTTCCTTGCAGACTCTAAAATTTGAATGAAAACTATAGCTTCTATCTAGAAGCTTGCACATCCTCCTCACATCAGTAAGTACTCAAGAGTCAGGATCACAACAATGCAGGGGAGATCAATTTAGTCTTGAGCCAGATTACATTTACCTAACTCTTTAGCTCAGCCCAACACACAAGACCCTGCACTGTCTCCCTGATGAGCAGTCCACGCTCCACATTTCTCAAGGCCACCTTCCACACCCAAATTGCTTGGATCAAAACTAACCTCTGTTGTCTGTTGAACAGTTCTCATTTATTCATAAAAGTATCCCTTTGCTCATACTGGTCTGTCTTCCTGAAATGCCCTTCTCTGATTTTTATGCAGCCATCAAACTACTTCTACACAGTGATGTTCCAAAACTTTATGCAAAATGCCAGGGCAACGCAAATGCATCGGTCAAAGCCCAGCAGAGGCTGATGGGAAATAAGTTGGTTTTTCTGGGTTGGGGTTGTGTGTCTTTTGTGTTTGTCTTAATTGCCCATCAATTTCACTTCCCCACTAGTCCATAAACTCCCTGCAGACAGATTTTTTTCTTGTCTAGGCTCTGCTCCCATGCCTATCACAGGGCCCACTTCCAAGATGTGTCAATGAATTTTCAGAGCTAGTTCGTGAAGCCTTCTCTGGACTTTATTCCTGGGCAGGTTGGAGGCCTGTCTTCTGTGATTGCAAAGTAATTGCTTAAGCAAAAAAATAAATCAACTCACTCTCCCTCTCTAGCACTGAACTGCAAGTTTTTTGAAAGTGGCAATGCATCTGTGAGCTTTTTGAAGGTGGGAGATGCATCTTGGTGCGCCTAATGTCTTACATTGTGCCATGCAAATTATAGGTGATCAATTTGTGTAGATGTAAGTGACCTGCACTGTTCAAGACAATATTCATTAATTCTTTGCCTATAAATCTTGCTTTCCAACCAAATTGTAATATTCTTGAGAGTACACTTATCTTGTGTCAAATATATTAAGATGTGTGGGGTGGGAAGTCCAGCATAAGTCAACAAATGCTAGAGTTAGTGAGCTGCATGGGTAAGTACTACTCTCTAAGGAAGAACTTAGTTATAACTCCTGTCCAAAAGGGTCAACCAGATTGACAAAAGCATAAAAAACAGAGGAGAAAAAGGTACATGAGTAAAATAAAGCTCAGGCAGCTGGAAATATAAGGTTGCCTAGAAACAGGAGGTGGGTGGAATGAGGAAAGGAAACAGCTTAGCATTCCATTCATTTTTTAAAGCTAAAATGCATTACATTTCTGAACTAGTCAAAAGCTCCTAAATATCCTCCTCAGCTCTTATCCTATCCCCCATCTCTGCTCCTCCTGCTCTCCTATGGGAAAAAAGCAGAGGTGGTAAAAGAAGAAGTAGGAGAGAAAATTTTGGTTTCTTCCTCCTTAAAACCTCAACAGTTTGGGAAATGGTTATCAGTCTGGGAAATAGGAAAATTCTATCAGAAACACCCCTGGGGTAGGTTGGGCCTGCATTTCTCATGCTGAACTCACAGGGCCAGCCCTAACCCCAAAGAAATGCAGGGTTTAACTCACTGATGTAGAGCCATAGAAGGGTCCAGGCTATGACTGCTAGGATGAATAAAAACACTGTGAAGAGAATGATTTTATTTTGGACATTCCAAAAGGGAGCTTTCTTCTTGGCTTGCTTCTTGGGCTTGGCTTTGCTGATGGGTTTTCGTGGTGGTCGTCTTCCTGGCAGCTTCCCATGGGCACTGACCACCTGAACTGAGATATTGGATATCTTCAAAAACAAGAAAGATGTATCATCAATGAGAGGTAGTCTGGAGCTTAAATGGAACCACCCCGTCAGGAAAATCTTGGTGCTGAAAGGCCTAAATATGTCAGTCAAATTATTTATATTAGCATAATAAATGGACTTGCATTGAATCACATAATTAAGGTGAGAAAAAACAGACATCATATGAACTCTGGTGAAATGTTTCCCAGGTCCTCTCCTTAACTCTCCAATTCTGCTAAACAGATGCTGTAGAAGATAGGCCTAAATTTCATGGAGTGTAGACTAGAGGACCTGAAGGTCAGAAGGTTAGGATTCCATGTGGGTTAATTCAAGCGGATACAGTTCAGATGTGGGAATGTGTATGTGCTTCCAATGTTTGTATTCTATAGCTTTTCTCCCACAACCAATGTCTTCTGGACTGAGGCAGGACTGAAAATAAGAAAATAAGTGACTTCCTCATAGAAATGAATTGATGTGCTAATTGTGACTTCATGACTGGTGTTAGGAAGAAAATGTTAAGGCTGACGCTCTGGTTTGTGCAAGGCTGTAGGATGGGGATCAAAGTGCATGTTTCAACATTGCCCCCCAGGTATGCACTTTTAAGGCAGTTGCTGAATTGCTCAGTGACTCAGTTTCTCAATAACAAATGAAAGAATAATTAAAAATAAAGAATGAAATAGAGGACTCCTGTTAGATTAGAAAGTTATTGATTTTAGTGTTTTGATGTGCAAAGTGTTATGTGCAAGAGGAAAAAATACATTATTTAACTGTTTCCCCTCCCCTTTTATTTTCTCCTCTACCCTCTGTCATTTGATGCTGTGAATTCTTTAATAATGTATATGAGAGTTTAGCTTCTTTGAAGGAGAGATTTATACATGTCAGCGTAACTAAACTCCAGTGATGAAATAACTTTTAACCACACATTCTTTTGAAGACAACAATCTAGAACACCAGTTCCAAAGAAAACATCTCTTTTTTTGAGCTCCCCTAAGAATTCTCTCATTCTCTCTTACTCTCCCTGACTTTTCCCTTTAAAGTACATGTCTTCCAGTCTCTAATGCTACCAATTAATGGGATAATATGTGGCCAAGAACATTCTGAATTATTCATGGCTCCCTCATTCTTTCGGCCAAAACACCCTTGTCAACCCCTGGAATGAAATGTAGCTTATATCCTTCCTGGTGAAACTGAACTAGACCAGACACCCTGCAGGAAAGGAGATGGTGTTTCTAAAAAGAAAAACATTCTACTGTAGTATGAGTTGACTGTGATGTCAAACTACTTTCAAATATTCCCGCAGAGAAGTCAAAAAGGAAAACACAGAGAAATGCCAGCACATGTAGAACTGACAAGGCCAAGGTTGGATCTTTAAATGCAGGAACACATTATAGGCAGTCTCAGTTAGCACTGATTAAATTTTAAAATGGAATTTGTGTAGAGATCAGTACAATTTCCCTGGAGTTTTAGAAAAACAGCTGCAAATCAATTGCGAAGTACACACTTTAAAACAAGCTCACATTCGTAAAATCCATTAAGTACCATGGGAAGATAAAGTATTTTATTATTGCTCCTTTTATTTTTGTTAAGTAACATGGCCTCATTTTACTAACAGGGTCAACAATAAATGGCATTCAAGTAAGAGGGAAGGCTTCCCACACTGTACTTACATTCACATCAGCGGGCTTGGTTGAAATATCACTGTTTTCTTTGTCCATGTTTATATGTTCTGCATGTGAACATCCAGAGGTGTCTCAAAGCCGGGTTTCACCCCCCTCCATTCTTGCTTGAGAAGAATTGTTTGCTGCATTCAAGCTAGCTTTCAGAGGAAAGGAGTCAACTTACTCCACCGGGTCCAGTTCAGAAACTGAAGCTGCCTCATTGCTATATAGCAAACATTAAAGGGACCTATCAGTCAGCTTGGCACCCCAAGCTGAAGGTGCCTTAATGTACCTCTAATACTAGCCTGGCCCCTCAGAGCTGAGCCTCAAGGCAAGGCTGCCTCACAAGGACACAGTTCAACAATCCAAAAATATTTACGAGTCATTAAAACTTTTGCCTGTGTCTTCTAAAGAATATTAAGAGATCTAGCATTTAACTCTCAGCACCACTTCCTAGAAACCCCCACACCCCTGTTTCTCTTGCTCACATCTTGTGCCCACCCAGAAGCCTCAGTCACCAATTCTGCTCTCAACGCTGCCGCTACACTCTGAAAATTCCTGTCCAAGAGGGTTTTTTCCTTTTTTCTCCCCTCCTCTTGGTGTCCTCAGTAAACCCAGGTCCTTTCTGATGTAAGTCTCCTCTTCCTATCTGTCCCTTTCTTCCCCAAGTTAACCCGAATTAGGTTCAAGTGTGGGGAGAGGAAGGTAATCATGAGGGGCATTGTCAGAATGTTCTTAGCAGATGGGGGCGGGGGGAGGTGCCTAGGATTGCTTATACATTATACACCCATCCCAGTGATGCAGACATGCTGTCCTGTGGGCACTGGGCGTCAATGGAAAGCTGGTTAATTGCCTTTAAAGGGGAAACACTACTCCGCTGATCTAGATACACACTCCAGTCCTTCAAGGTGTAGTCATAAGAAAGCAAGTGAGAAACTGCCTCACTAAAATGAAGTCCTCTTTAACTGCCCATCATTTCTGTATTATTTCCTTTATTTCTAGAACTATTCATTTCTACATAATGTAAGTAAACTATATGTCCTGAGCAGTGGCCACTGACAAGGACTCTCCTTGAGAGGAACTTTAGGCGGGCTCCTCTGAGCCCTCTTTTTACCAGTGCCTCATCCTTGGGCCCTGTCCTCAGCCTGCCTAGTCCAATTGGAGTAAGAATCCTGATGTCAATTTAGTGAGAATCCCTGCCCCTTGATATCTGATCAACTTCCTCATTCTGAACCCTTGATGTATAAATCCTTGGCCTGCCTTTGGCGAGAATCCCCCTACCCTTGATGTTTCCTGTTAGTAATTTTCCTTCCACCGGCCTCCTCACTCTGTTCATTGGCCATACCTCACCAGCTATCTTTGCTGTATTTGGGATTAACCTAACTCTATTCTAAAGTCTCTTTCCTCTATTGCAATAGTACTGAATAAAATCTGTCTTTACAGCCTTCTCACTAGTGTCCATCTCTGTTTCTCTTTGACGCCACCAAGATTGGGAAGGGGCAGCAAATCGTAGGAGGCTGCACTGTATGTACAGAAATTTAAAACAATCTTACAACCAACTACAGGCTGCTTTTCATTGTCACCATTTGCCAGTAATGCTAAACAATGTCATTGATAAAATACTCCTCCCTGAAAAAAATCTTTGATTGGTATACATTCTAAACGATTGCTGCCATTACAATTGAGTTTTAATAATATATATGTAAGCTTCAAATGAGCACATTTTTATTACTCATCTTTTAATAAATGACTCATGTAGAAGTTAATCTGGAGGACTCTCATCTGTACAGTTGGTCTCAAAACCAAAAAGACTCTGTGACACATGCTTATTTCAAGAGTAAGTTTCTAACAGTCTGGGGTCATTTGAGCTGACTTGGGGGAGAATCTTTGTCTCCACAACGCATGTGGAATTACATATTCCTGCATTTAAGCAGAAGATTCAAAGTAACCAACAAAAGCACAATGACTGTAAAGGTGAAAAAACAGAACTTCAATTATCTCATTTCTGTTATTCCATATGGCCATTGGGAGTTAGTTTATACTGAAAATTTAAAACAATTATACAGAGCATGAACTGCCAGGGGTAATATTTTTATATATAATATTTTATATCCAATAATTATTTGTTAATTTTATTTTTATGACCATAATTGTATATACAAAGTTGAGTATAATTTTTCACTGATTTTTTCTAGGCATTATTAGTCTTCACTTTACTTTCTGATTATTACTGAAAATACTTTCATTGCCTAGAGGAAAGGGTTGTTAAGAGTGATCCACTCTACAGGGACAGATACATGATAAAGCAAGTACAGAAAATGTTAATGGCAGGATCTCAGTGTGGTATATGCATCTACACTATAGAATTGTTTCAACTCTCTGTTTACAAGTTTTCTTGATAAAATCTTGGGGGAAAATTATCATCTCTGGGAGTCACATACTCTAGATAAGCCACTAGTTTTGAGAGGCAATAGCAAAGAAAGTTGAAGTGCAAGATAAAATTTTGGTGACTGCGCGTGCATCCATCTCCTTGTTGCTTTCACTGGCATAGCAGTCTTGGTACGGAGCCCCCTCCATCCCAGAACATATGACCAAAGAGAATCACAATGACCAGATGGAGGTTGGTGCTTCCCATCATAAGCAGCTTGAAAGATAGTGAAGAGGTTTCTATTCCTTTCCCAGGAACAGAGGCCCCTGTGCTGAGGGAAGTGGGGCAGGTGACTACCTACTGGTCAGACAAGCAGATATTGTGCAATGGGAAAAGGGAATCATTTTCCATTGGATTCAGCAGTGGCCATTGGGAGCACATAACTTATCCAATACATTAATTCGATACGTGAAAACATTTTGAATGTTTCAACCTTCTGTCTCAACCATGAGCCCAGTGGACCTGAAGGCCTAGAGGTAGGACCAAGTCATTCATCTAACATAAGCAAGGTCTGGGCCCCTGGCATGGAAGGCACTTAGCAATGGGGTGACACTTCCATCCTTGCCTATCCAGAGGACGGGCCAGCTCTGCAGCAACTGATAAATTCATTTCTGCTACTTAGGACCCACTTCTCTCTATTATGATCAATGGCCACATGCAAAGCTGCCATTTGATCCCCACTCATCCTTGAGCTCTCTGCAGAGGGGGAATGAATCCTGAGGAATCACAAGGTTGCACAGGAGCCTAGGAAGCCAGCCAGCCATTTAACACTATCACCCTAAATGTCCTGTAATAAAATGACGCGACAGTGATCCTGGCTTCCCTGTGCCTGCTGACTCACAGGAACATGATTCTAATCCATTTGTCACATCACATGGAACTTTTTAAAAAGTGAAATGATAGTGGGGCATCTTAGTGAACCCCTAGATCTAGGCTATTGTAATATCCTCTCAACTGGTTTTCCTCCTCTGGGCTCATTCCTCCCATGTGCACATCACTACCAAATAAATCTTCCTAAAATAACTCTCTACTGTCACCTCCATCCTTGACCATGGCAGCCCATCTCCTTTTATTCAGTCTCCCTGGCCTGACATTCAAGGTCTTCCTCAGGGTGGCACCAGGCTACCTTTCTATGTCCCCCATCACATCTACCGAATCTTCTCTGTCAAATGATGCATTTTCAATTTTTAGTCATTCATTCATTCACCCATCCATCAGCTTACTCAACATATATTGCATGCCTACTAGGTGACAGATGCCAAATATTTTTTAAGTGAATAAAATATATCACTGCCCTTAAAAAGCTCTCAGTAGAGGAGGTAGGCATGCAAACTACTGATTACAACATCATGTAATAAGTGCTATCAAAGAGGTGTCCAGAAAATGCCACAGAATCATACAGGAGGCTGATATTAACAGCCCTTCCTTCCAAATCTTCTGCCCTGGGTCCACATTACATTATTCAAGTTCTAACCACTTTCAACACCCTGCTTGCAGCTGTCCTGCAAGCTTTGCCACCCTCAGGATTCTCTTCTTTCCCCTAACTCAGAAGCTTCATTGTACATACCAGTACTTGAGAATTAAATAATATTATAATAATTCATCAGACACTACTTTGTGGCATCTCTCATGTTGTCTTCTTGGTTATTTAGCTTGTCATATGTACATCCTATCTCCAAGCTCCTTGAAGACGAGATTCTTGTATTAACCTCTTTGATGTAATAGCCTTGGGGGCTGGGTGAAATAGCATCTTCAGGAATTAGTTGGGTCTAGGATTTTGTTTCACCTTATTTACAAGCTAATAAGTTAGCCTGTTACTATTTCACGGATGGTGGCAAATGACATGAGATCATGGCTCAGCAAGCAGCCTGAGTATCAGCATGTTTGCATCGGTTCCCTTTTCCCTTAAGTCTCAAAGGGATGACTCAATATTGGTTCAGATGAATGCCATGGGTTCACGTCACAGCTGAGGAACACCGAGCTTGGGGAACATACCACTTTTATATCAAGCAATAAGCAAGCCTGCCCATTGTCCAAGATGGACATTACCTCATCCTTCAAGGTTGCTCCCTGGAAACCCACCCCGAGAAATGGCCAAGATAGAGAGCAGTCAAGACATTGCATCCTTGGCATACACAGTATATTTGTTTCCTGGGGCTGCCATAACAAAATACCACAAACAGAGGGGCTTAAAATAACAGAAATTTATTATTTCACAGTTCTGGAGGCTAGAAGTCCAAAATCAAGGTGTCGGCAGGGCCATGCTCCCTCTGAAATTCGTAGGGTAGAATCTTTCCTTGCCTCTTCCTAGCTTCTGCTGGGGGCTGGCTCTCCTTGGCACTCCTTAGCTTTCAGCTGCAGTGCTTCAGTTTCTGCCGCCTTGTCATGTGGGACTCTCCCCTCATGTGTCTCTGTGTCTCTTCTCTTCTTATAAGGACAGCAGCCATATTGGATTAAAGGCCCATCCTATTCCAGTATGACCTCATGTTGATGCGGGGTCGGTGAGCCGAGGAGTTGAAAGAAAGATTTCTTGGACTCTCAAGATCTGGCAGTAGTGCTCTTTTATTTAGAGAATAGTGTAGCATGGGGACAGGACCCATGGGCAGTCAGAGCTTCTGCTGCTGCCCCC